GTAGCAATGGACATGCTGAGACATGGTCAGATTTTTGGATATATTTTCAAGGAAGAGCTGGCAGGCATTGAGAGAAAAAGAGGAGATAAGCATGACTCCATGTTTTGCTCTAGGCAATGGGAAGACTGGAGTTACTATTTTCTGAGATGGGATCGCTGCTCTAACAGAAAGACCTGGACTATTAGTGGCTTAAATCGGGTTGAAGTTTATTTATTGCAGTTGATCCAGGGCCCATTTGGCAGCTCCATAATCATCAGGGACCCAGGCTCTTTCCATCTCATTACTCTGGCAAAATAAGGTTTCCACCTCGTGGTCCAAAATGGCTGCCTCAGGTCCTGCCATCAGATCTGCCTTGCAGCCAGAAGAAAGGAAGAAAGGGGGCAAGTGTCTTTTCATTTTGAGTACACATGTCCTTTTTGCTCACATCTCGTCTAAGTCAGAACTTAGACACATGGCCACAGCTAGGTGCAGAGGAGGCTGGGAAATGATTCTTTGTTCTATGTGCTCATGTGCCCAGCTATAAACCAGTGGCTCTAGTATTATGAGCAAGAAAGGAAGAATGTATATTTGGGGAACAACTAGTCAACTTTCCCTAATGGGTCCTGAATGCTGCTCTTCCTACATCCCTTATGTCCCTCTCCAGTCTGTATTCTACATCTCACCTGGAAACAAAATTCCTAGAACATAGATCTGCTCATGACCTTCCATGGCTCATTACTCTTTCATGGGTCTCCAGTATCCTCTGAATTAAAGCCAAGTTTCTCAGCCTGGCATTTGAGCCATAATCTGGCTCCACCTTCCAACCACTCCAGCCTCATTCCTTCCACCCCATCCACACCTTACACTCCCACAATAACCGCACGTACCTGTGTGCTACCTTTTCCTTAAGCTGATCCCACAGTCTGGAGCATCCTTTCTGGCCTGAGGAAATCCTTTCTGTTTGTATCACTGTGATCAACACCACATCCTGCAGGAAACTTGCCCAGCCTCCTTACAGTGGGGCCCTCTGCCTCTCACAAACTCTCAGAGTCCCCATCACCCCATCCTAGCGGAGAGGTCAGCTATTTGTATGGTGCCTGCTTTACTCCAGGCAAACTCACTAAGTCTTTCCTTTCCTGTCTTCCTACCTTCTCACCACCCTTCCCTCCTGTCCACACTCTGCCCCTCCTCCCTTTTGCCTTCCCTTCCTCCCAGTTATGGAGCATAAAAGCGCTGCACTCAGCACCTGTACTAAACAAAGAATCAATTTTTCCAGTTACTAAGGTCATGTGACAAATCATTCCAAGACCTAGTGGCTTCAGACAACGGCCACATTTAGTTTGCTCACGAACCTGCCATCTGCACAGGGCTTGGTGGAGGTGACACATCTCTGCTCTACATGGTGACAACGGGGGTGGGTTGGAAGCTGGGGCAGTGTCTTGGATGGAAAGGCTCAAACAGCTGGAGCATGGACCAGTTAGGGCTCCTCCACCATCTGACCTTTTCTCTATGTGGTCTGTCCAGCATGGTAGCTTCAAGGTAGAGAAACGTGTTTCTTACATGTCAGTTAAGGTTTCTGAAAATGCATGGAGAGAGACAGAGAGAGAGAGAGAGAGAGAGAGAGGGAGGAGAGAGAGAATGACGGGTATGATAAGCCCTCTGATGGGGGAAGAGTCCTCTCAGTACCTGAAACAGCACCCAACATTTATCAGGAATTTATTAACAACTTCAACAATGATAAAGGGATGCATAGCTTACCTGGTAGCCGAAAGAAGAGATATTCTAAACACCTTGGGTGCATATGGGAATCACGTAGGAGGTCCTCAGAGGAAGGAATTTGGATGCATTGTTCTGTTTATAGTAACAACATTACAGCCATCAATGCTCTGGCATTTACTGTGGGTTAGATCTTTGTCATGAATTACTTTCTGTCATCCTTCCAAACTTTGTGACAGGGGCCAGCAAACTGTGTCCCTCCACTTGTTTTTGTAAATAAAGTTTTATTGGAACACAGCTGTGCTCATTTGTTTGTATACTGTCTGCGGCTGCTTTCCTGCTGTAATGGCAGAGTAGTTGCAACAGGGACCAGATGACCCCAAAAGCTGAAATTATTTGCTATCTGGTCCTTTGCAGAAAATATTTGTTAACTCCTGCCCTAGAGGTAGGTATTAGGAGACCAGTTTATAAAAGAGAAGAAAAAGGCTCAGAGGGGGATGCTTTATTCGAGGTTGAGAGAGTCAGCGTCCGTACTTTTTATTTATTTTCATTTTATTTTTTTTGCAGTATGCGGGCCTCTCACTGTTGTGGCCTCTCCCGTTGTGGAGCACAGGCTCCGGACGCGCAGGCTCAGCGGCCATGGCTCACGGGCCCAGCCGCTCCGCGGCATGTGGGATCTTCCCGGACCGGGGCACGAACCCGTGTCCCCTGCATCGGCAGGCGGACTCTCAACCACTGCGCCACCAGGGAAGCCCCTTATGCAATTTTTTAAATACAATTTTTAAAGGCTCCACTGCATTTACAGTTATTACAAAATATTGGCTATATTCCCCGTGTTGTACAATAAATACATCCCTGTAGCCATCTAACACCCAGCAGTTTGTACCTCCCACTTGCCCACCCCTATATTGCTCCCGTCCCCCCACTGGTAGCCACTTGTTTGTTCTCTATGAGATGGTGATTCATGACAGCTTTGGGGTTGTTTTTATCTCTTGTTTTTGCTTTTGAGTTTGCAAAGTCTGTGTGTGTGTGGTTAATCCATTTGATAACCCACTTGGGCTCAGCTACTGGTATTCCTCATCTGTGGATGATGGAGCCAAGAGGTGATGCTTCAGAGTTTCTAGATTTTCTCTACCCTGGACATCCCCATCTTAGAGACAAACCTGGAGCTTGCTGTCCAGGTGCTTTCAACCTGTCCCCAAGAGTTCCTGCTGTTGCTGAGGGCAGGGCCTCCCTAGACTTGTTGGGACAAGCCTTCCCTTCCTGGTCAGGACTCTGGAGCCCCCTGTGGCTCTTGAGCCTCATGTAGCTCCAAGGAAAGTGGGTGATAAGTTTCCAAAGAACTGCCCACCTCCAAGACTTCTGGATCCTCCATCCTGAGTGCTGTGCTGACCCCTGGCCCTCTCATCTCCAGCTCTGTACACTTCTGCCGTGTCCTGCCCCCACTCACCAGTTTTAACTAAATAAGCATGTTTTGTCTTGCTAAAAAACCAAAAACCAAAAACCAAAAAAACCTCTTGGGACATGTGGAAACAATTTATCGGTCAGATATTTGTCATTTCATAAGTATTCTGAAGTATGCCTGTGGATTGTTGTCAAACCTGATCCAATCATAAATCAAATGAGTTACTCGGAGTCAAATAATTTCCAAAACAAAATTATGCAAATCTTTTCAGTGTTTTTTTTTCAGCTTTATTGCACTATAATTTACATGCAATAAAATACACTATTTTTTTTTTTTTTTTGCGATACGCGGGCGTCCCACTGTTGTGGCCTCTCCCATTGCGGAGCACAGGATCCGGACGCGCAGGCTCAGCAGCCATGGCTCACAGGCCCAGCCGCTCCGCGGCACGCGGGATCCTCCCGGACCGGGGCATGAACCCGTGTCCCCTGTATCGGCAGGCAGACTCTCAACCACTGCGCCACCAGGAAAGCCCTAAAATTCTCTATTTTTAAGTGAACATGCTGATGAGATTTGACAAATATGTCATCATGTATATAAACACCAGTGCGGTTTAGAGATTCTTTCCAAACCCCCAAAAGTTCCCTTTGCAGTAATCACTTCCCCCAACCCTTCTGCCCTTGGTAACCACTGATCTTCATTCTCTCACTATAGTTTTGTTTTTCCTAGATTGTCATGTAACTGGAATCATACATATTGTGTAAATACCAGTAGTTCATTCCTTCTTTGTGTGTGGGGGAAGGGGCCCACACCACAGGGCATGTGGGATCTTTGCCGACCAGGGTTTGAACCCATGCTCCCTGCATTGGGAGCTTGGAGTCTTAACCACTAGACCATCAGGGAAGTCCCCATTCCTTTTTATTGAGTACATTATATGAAGTTATTATAAATAACTTATTCCTTTAGCTGTCGATGGACATATCAATTACAAAATTGGGTTGCTTCCGACTTTTGGGTATTATAAGTGGGATGGGTTGAATTGCCTTGCCCCTCTCCCCCCACAAATTCATATGTTGAAATCCTAACCTGCAGTAGACCACAGAATGTGACATTATTCGGAAATAGGGTATTTGCAGATGTAATTAATTAAGATGATGTCGTTTTGAATTAGGGTGAGCCTCTCCTCAGGCCCAGGAGTCCCGGTCCCTAGCCCTTCCCCCCTCAGACCCAGAGGTCCAGACCCCCAGCCTCTCCTCCCTCAGACCCAGGGGTCCAGGCCCCCAGCCCCTCCTCCTTCAGACCCAGAGTGTATGCCCCCATGTCCTCCTGCCTCAGGACCCAGGAGTTTGGGAACCTCCCAGGCTAGTAGGTCTTGGATTCTGAGCATTGAAATTATCAAATTGTCCCAGAAAGTCTACGAGGAACACATATATTTATGTTCCTTATTTATTTTTATTGCAGTATAGTTGATTTACAATATTATATTAGTTTCACGTGTACAACATAGTGATTCAAAATTTTTATAGATTATATTCCGTTTACAGTTTTTATAAAATATTGGCTATAGTCCCTGTGCTGTACAGTATATCCTTGTAGCTTATTTTATACATAGTACTTTGTAAGGAACATATTTTTAGAAGAGGAAACATGCTGGTACATTTGAAAGACACAGAGGACCGAAGTCCGGAAGCAGCAGCCGCTGGATTGGGATCGTGGGGTCCCTTCAGCAGCTGTGCGAGTGTGACATTATTGGAACTGCGTGTAGGCCCCGCCCCCGAGACCACGGCCTCGCCCCCGGCTCCGGAAACTACCATGCCCAGCTGCAGCTGCGCTCACGGCCCCTCCCTATAGGTCCCTCCCCCGGAAGTTCCGCCCCGCCCGTTTCCGGAAGCCGAGGGTTCCAGCCCGGCCTGCACTTCCCCACGTGAATCCCAGGCAGCGCGTTCCTAGGACTGACCCCGGGCGCGCGTCTGCGGGCGGCTGCAGTGGGACCCCCCCCTCCCCCCACCAGCTCCGGCCCGTGATGAATCGCTACATTCTGCCGCTGTCCGTGCTGGGCACAGCGGTGGGTGGCGCCGTGCTGCTCAAGTAAGTACGTGCGGGTCCCGCAGGCGCGGTAACGGCTGGCCGGTGGGCAAGGACGAGGGAGGGAAAGCCGAGTGGAGATTGCCAACCCTTGGCCCACCCAGGAGTCCTCCAGCTCACCCGTCCAGCAGTGCTCCCAGAGAATGCGGGGGCAAGCCTGGTCCCCGAGAGGGCAGGTCATGGCCCAAGGTCACCCAGAGAAAGGAGCGGATCCGGGCCCTGGTAAACATTTTGGTCTAGTTGCTTCTGGACTTTTAATGGATTAATTCTTTAATTCAGCGGACGCTTATTGAGCACTTCCCATATGTCAGGTCGTGGCCCAGATGCAAGGAAAGTGTGTACCACCTAAGCTCCCGTTGTCCGAAATTAGAGAAACAAATTAGAATTGTCCAAGTCAGTAAGTGAAAAGATCGTATTGCGTGGTATATAGACATACTGTAGTTCTTTCTTCTCTTTCCTAGGCTAATTCGTTTAATAAAAACAAGACAAAACGGGACTAAGAAGTAAAAACTATTAGATATAAAATAAGCTACAAGGATATATTGCACAACCCGTGGAATATAGCAAATATTTTATGTTATAAATGGAATAGGTTATAAATGGAATATAACCTTTAAAAATTGTAAATCACTATATTGTACACCTGTACCTTATATAATATTGTATATCAACTATACTTCAATATAAAAATCCCCCCCAAACCAAAAAACAGCTACCAAATATTCTATAGGAGCATCGGTCAGTAGAACTTCCTGTGATCATCGAAATGTTTTACATTTGCCCTGTCCATTATGAGCCATACCGTGCGACTACTTTTTATTTATTTATTTTTGGCTGCTTGGGTCTTCGTTGCTGCGCGTGCGCTTTCTCTAGTTGCGGCGAGAGGGGGCTACTCTTTGTTGCGGTGCGCGGGCTTCTCATTGCGGTGGTTTCTCTTGTTGTGGAGTACGGGCTCTAGGCGTGCAGGCTTCAGTAGTTGTGGCACGCGGGCTCAGTAGTTGTGGCTCGCGGGCTCTAGAACACAGGCTCAGTAGCTGTGGCGCACGGGCATAGTTGCTCCGCGGCATGTGGGATCTTCCCCGACCAGGGCTTGAACCCACGTCCCCTGCATTGGCAGGCAGATTCTTAACCACTGCGCCACTGGAGAAGTCCCTCGGCTGCTGTTATTTTTATTCATGCTGATGCCTTTCAGTTCTGAAAAAGCTTAAAAATAAAAAAGGGCCAGCATGGGAAGAATAAAAGAAAACTGAATGCCCTAGGGGGGAAAGTATGACTATTGTTTTTTTTTTTTTTTTTTACTTTTTATTTTTAAAAACAGTTTTATTGGAGTATGGTTGCTTTACTATGTTGTGTTAGTTTAGACTCTTTATTTTTAATTAAATTAAAAAATTAGCCTCAGGGGACTTTCCTGGTGGCGCAGTGGTTAAGAATCCGCCTGCCAATGCAGGAGACACGGCTTCGAGCCCTGGTCCGGGAAGATCCCACATGCCGCGGAGCCACTAAGCCCGTGCACCACAACTACTGAGCCTGTGCTCCAGAGCCCACAAGCCACAACTACTGAGCCTGTGTGCCACAACTACTGAAGCCCGGGTGCCTAGAGCCTATGCTCTGCAACAAAAGAAGCCACTGCAATGAGAAGCCCGCGCACCGCAACAAAGAGTAGCCCCGGCTCACCGCAACTAGAGAAAGCCCTTGCGCAGCAACGAAGACCCAATGCAGCCAAAAATAAATATAAAAAATAAATTAATTAATTAAAAAAAAAGAAAAATAATAGCCTCTGGTGGCTGGTGGCTACCGTGTTGTACGTTGCCTTTCTTTTGTGTGGAGATAATATTGTTTATTTGGCCAGTTCCCTGTTGGTGACATTTGGTTGTTTCCAGTATTTAGCCTCTGGAATGTGGGCATAGTAGCAGAATAAGGGCCCCCAACGATGTGCATGTCCTAATTCCCAGAACTTGTCAAAAGGGACTTTTCAGATGTCACTGTGTTAAGGGCCTTGAGATGGGAGATGATCTGGGTTATCCAGGTGGCCCAACATCGTCACAACGGTCCTTATAAGAGGGAGGCAGAAGCATCAGAGTCAGGGGCTTGAAGATGCTGTGCCGCTGACTTTGAAGGTGAAGGAAGGGGCCACGAGCCAAGGGATGCAGGCGGCCCCTAGAAACTGGAAAAGGTATGGGGACGATTCTCAGTTCTCCCTGGAGCCTCCAGAAGGCACACAGCTCTGCCGACACCTCGATTTTAGCCCAGTGAGACCCATTTCGGACTCTGACCTGCAGACTGTAGGAAATACCGTTGCATGGTTTTTTTGGGTTTTTTTTGCGGTACGCGGGCCTCTCACTGCTGTGGCCTCTCCCGTTGCGGAGCACAGGCTCCCGGATGTGCAGGCTCAGCGGCCATGGCTCACAGGCCCAGCCGCTCCGCGGCATGTGGGATCTTCCCGGACCGGGACACGAACCCATGTCCCCTGCATCGGCAGGCGGACTCTCAACCACTGCGCCACCAGGGAAGCCCCGTTGCATGGTTTTAACCCACTGAGCTTGTGGTGATCTGTTAGAGCAGCCACAGGAAGCGAATACAGGGGGTCTTTCTAAAATGACGATTGTCTCGCTGTGCACGCTCCCCGCACCAGACCATGCTGAGTCCTTTACCTGTACCACGACACCGGTCCCATGGAGTTATGCGATGTCGCTTCCATCTTTCCGTTGGGGGAACACAAGCTCAGAGAGGTCATTTCCCTGAGATCACAACAGTCAGGGACACCTGTGGTGAGAGAGGACAGACAGACCGAACTGACCTGCCGTTTTTTATCTCCAGGGACTTTGTCGCCGGCGGGGCTTGTCCCAGCAAGACCACCATTCCCGGGAAGACCGTCATTGTGACCGGCGCCAACACGGGCATCGGGAAACAGACGGCCTTGGAGCTGGCCAGAAGAGGTGAAGTCCCAGTGGGCACCTGCTTCTCTGCCTGGGGCTCGGGCGTGAGATCTGGCGGTGGATGGTTTGATTTCCCAGGGAATGTTAAGGCATCTGATTCTTTTGGTTGCAAGTGGCAGAAACAAACTCAGGCCGGCTTAAGCCCGAAAGCCTTGTGTCTCTGGAAGAGGGAAGGGCAGGTTCAGGGTCTCAGAGGAGGCCGTGGGCGCTCAGCAGTTATTGGTTTGGGTTTTTCTCTTTGCATCGGCTGTGCTCTTTCCTACTGTAGTTGGACTCAGTCCTAATGGCTGGGTCGGGGCCTAGGTCAGAGGTTGGGGGTCAGGCTCTCCCAAGCTTACTGGTCAGGCGTTTTGTAGAAAGAACACCCTTCGATTTGGGTCTGTTTGACGTTTTTCTCATGGTCAGACTGGGCTTATGGAGAAGTGCCCTCCTCAGCACATGCAGATGTCTTTTGAACTTGGAATCAGTGGGGTTTCCTGTGGGTTCAGGTACGAGAAAGGGAGGAGTTAAGGTTTTGTTTGAACAGCTGGAAGACCAAAGCTGCCTTGGCTGGGACGGGGAGGCCAGGGCAGGGCACGCGTGAGGGCTGGGGTGACTGGAAACTCTCCTTGGGCTGGTCGAGTCGAGGTGACCAGTGAATGGGTCCCTGATGGACTGACCAGGCCTGAGCTGCCTGTTCACCCCTGAGGTGAGAGTGGTGGGGGGCCATGAGGGCAGCCCCCCTGCCCCCCCACACCACATGGGGTTTCCCCAAGGGAGGGACAGGCGCTCCTTTCAGGAAAAAGCGAGAAGGGAGGGACTTCCCTGGTGACGCAGTGGTTAAGAATTCGCCTGCCAACGCAGGGGACGTGGGTTCGAGTCCTCGTCCGGGAAGATCCCATGTGCCGCGGAGCCACTAAGCCCATGCGCCACAACTACTAAGCCCATGCGCCACAACTACTGAGCCTGCGCACCACAACTGGTGAAGCCCACGCCCCTAGTGCCCGTGCTCCGCAACAAGAGAGGCCACCGCAATGAGAAGCCCACGCACCGCAACAGAGAGTAGCCCCTGCTTGCCGCAATTAGAAAAAGCTCATGCGCAGCAACAAAGACCCAACGCAGCCAAACATAAATAAATAGACAAATTAAAAAAAAGGAAATTAAAAAAATGAAAACAAAAAGTAAGACAGCTAATTTATTTAAAGAAAAAGAAAAGTGAGAAGGGAAATTGGGCCAACATACCCACTGTGGTCCCTTGAGAGCCAGGCTGCCACTGGGAGGACAGACAGATCCAGGACTTGATGAGTCCATTCTGGACTGTGTGTTGGGGGGGCCAGATGTGTAGGAGGCAGCTGGCCCAGCTGTGGAGGATGAGCCCTGTAGACCCACGCGATTTGGCATCCTTGCTGCCCGTCCTCCTCTCCATCCCTGTTTCTTCTCACTTTTCTAATTTGAAAATAAAAGTTTAAAAAAATTAAATTTTTTCCTTTTTTTTTTTTTTTTTTTAAAATTTTGGCTGTGCTGCCCCGGCATGTGGGAACTTAGTTCCCCGACCAGGGATGGAACCTGTGCCCCCTACAGTGGAAGCACGGAGGCTTAACCCGCTGGACTGCCAGGGAAGTCCCCCCAAAGTTTTCTTTTTAAAGGCTGTATTAAGATTTAATTCACACATTTAAAGTGTACACGTCCATGATTTTTAGTATATTCACAGAATTGTACAACCGTCACTGGTCTCCATTTTAGAACATTTTTCATCACCCCAAAACGAAACGTGGCTCCTCTAAGCCATCATCCCCTAATTTCCCTTCCCCGCCAAAGCTAGGAAACCACTAATCTTCCTTCTGTGGATTTGCCTCTTCTGGACGTTTCAGATAAATGAGTCATGCACTCTGTGTCCTTTTGTGTCTGGCTTTCACTGAGCATCACGTTTGTGAGGTTCATCCATGGTGTAGATAGGTTGGAATTTCCTTCCTTTTCATGGCTAATATTCCACTGATGGACAAACCACATGTCACTTATTCATTCATCCCTTAAAAATTTTTTAAAAAAATTTTATATTGGACTATAGTTGATTTACAATGTTGTGTTAGCTTCAGGTGTACAGCAAAGTAATTCAGTTATACATATACATGTATCTGTTCTTTTTCAAGTCCTGTTCTCATTTAGGTTGTTACAGAATATTGAGCAGAGTTCCCTGTGCGGTACAGTAGGTCCTTGTTGGTTATTTATTTTATGTATAGTAGTGTGTACATGTCAGTCCCAAGCTCCCAATTTATCCCTCCCACCAATATTCATTTATCCCTTGATGGACATTTGGGTTGTTTCCACCTCTGGCTGTTCTGCACAGTGCTGCTGTACACATGTGAGTACACATTTTTGTGTGGACTTATGTTTCCATTTATCTTGGGTATCTATACTTAGGAGTGGATCTTTTTTTTTTAATTTTTAAAAAATTTTTATGGGAGTATAGTTGATTTACAATGCTGTTTCAGGTGTACAGCAGAGTGAATCAGTTATACATATACATATATCCACTCTTTTTTTTTTTTAGATTCTTTTCCCATATAGGTCATTACAGAGTATTGAATAGAGCGCCCTGTGCTATACAGCAGGTTCTTATTAGTTACGTATTTTATGCATAATAGTGTGTATATATCAATCCCAATCTCCCAATTTATCCCCCCCATCCCCTGGTAACCATAAGTTTGTTTTCTACATACGTGACTCTACTTCTGTTTTGTACATTACTTCATTTGTGCCCTTTTTTTTTAGATTCCACATATAAGTGATATCATCTGATACTTGTCTTTCTCCGTCTGACTTACTTCCCTCAGTATGACAATCTCTAGGTCCATCCATGTTGCTGCAGGTGGCATTATTTCGTTCCTTTTTATGGCCGAGTAGTATTCCATTGTATATACGTACCACATCTTCTCTATCCATTCCTCTGCTGACGGACATTTAGGTTGCTTCAGGAGTGGACATTTTTTTAAAATTCCATTAAAAGGTTTTTTTTGGTCTGGCTCTTCCAGGAGGCGCCATCATTCTGGCATGTCGAGACTTGGAGAAATGTGAGGCAGCAGCCAAGGAGATTCGAGGGGAGACCCTTAATCACCACGTCAACGCCCGGCACCTGGACTTGGCCTCTCTTAAGTCCATCCGAGAGTTTGCAGCGAAGATCATTGAAGGTAAGAGGAATGACGCTGGCCTTGTGGGGTGAGGACTTGGGCGGCCAGGCTGTGAGGAGGGAGTTATACCAGGCAGGTCCTAGAGCCAGGTATTGGTCGCCACCTGTTTTCGTTCAGCCTTTGGGTAAAGATTTTACTTTTTTTTCCTCTTCTGACATTTTCACGTTTACATATTTTTCATTTTTACATGGGGGAAAGAAAATTAAGAGAATAACATTTCATGACATGTGACCATTATATGGAATTCAGATTTTATTTTATTTTGGCTGTGCCACATGGCTTGTGGGATTTTTTAAAATAAATTTATTTATTTATTTTTTGCTGCATTGGGTTTTCGTTGCTGCACGTAGGCTTTCTCTAGTGTGGCAATCGGGGGCTACTCTTCGTTGCGGTGCTCTGGCTTCTCATTGTGGTGGCTTCTCTTGTTGTGGAACACGGGCTCTAGGCGTGCGGGCTCAGTAGTTGTGGCACGCGGGCTCAGTAGTTGTGGCTCGCGGGCTCTAGAGTGCAGGCTCAGTAGTTGTGGTGCATGGGCTTAGTTGCTCCGCGGTATGTGGAATCTTCCCGGACCAGGGATTGAACTTGTGTCCCCTGCATTGGCAGGTGGATTCCCAACCACTGCACCACCAGGGAAGTCCTGGGATTTCTTTTTTTTTAATAAATTTATTTATTTATTATTATTATTATTTTTGGCTGTGTTGGGTCTTCGTTGCTGCGCGCAGGCTTTCTCTAGTTGTGGTGAGCGGGGGCTACTCTTTGTTGCGGTGTGCAGGCTTCTCATTGCAGTGGCTTCTCTTGTTGTGGAGCACGGGCTCTAGGCACACGGGCTTCAGTAGTTGTGGCGTGTGGGCTCAGTAGTTGTGGCTCGTGGGCTTTAGAGCGTAGGCTCTAGAGCACAGGCTCAGTAGCTGTAGCGCACAGGCTTAGTTGCTCTGCAGCATGTGGGATCTTCCCGGACGAGGGCTCGAACCTGCATCCCCTGCATTGGTAGGCGGATTCTTAACCACTGCGCCACCAGGGAATCCCTGGCTTGTGGGATCTTAGTTCCTGGACCAGGGATGGAACCGGTGCCCTTGGCAGTGAAAGCGCAGAGCCCTAACCACTGGACCGCCAGGGAGTTCCCAGAATTCAGATTTTAGTTTCCATAAAGTTTTATTAGCATGCAGCCATGCCCATTGATTTATGTATTATCTGTGGCTGCTTTAGTCCTGGGAGGGCAGAGTTTAGTAGAGACAGACCATATTGCCTGCAAAGCCAGAAATATTTACTACCTGGTCCTTTACAGAAGAAGTTAACTGACTGCTGTCTAGGAAAACTAAGTCCTCTGTGTGCTTGGATCCTACAAGAAGCAGAGGCCAAGGAGGGAGGAAGAGTTAGGTGGAGAAGGGCACAAACACTGGTTCAGCCAACATTTCCGGAGGCTCTCTGACTCTTGGGTGACGCAGGTGACACAGACGTGAGTCAGATTCAGGCTCTGCTTCTGAGGAGCGCCCGGGCTGCTGGGGGACATGGCTGTGACAATAGGTAACTAAGGGTTAGTGCAGAGAGTCTGGAGCTCCCACATTCTTTCCTGGGTGTTTCTTTTTGCAAATCCAGGGATCAGGCTGGCATTTCTCTGCACTTCCGTCACGTTGATGCCTGACTCACTCTTTTTGCTCCCCACCACATGGTCTCAGAACCACTTAAGAATTTATTTTTTTTCAAACAGGAATAACATTTGGAGGGTTAAACGTTCAGAAAGTGCAAATGGGGATACAGCAAAACATCTTCCCGCCACGCCTGCCATTAGCTCCCAGCATGCCGTCCTCAGATGTGTTCAGTGCTCTACCTCTTGTGTGTCCTTCTGGGGACCATTTATGCATTTATAAAGCAAACGGGGATACACTTCCCCTTGGCTTTTTTGTACAAAGCGGAGCCTGTTACATACCTGGTGCTGCCCCTTGCTTTTTCTCCCCAGTTCTATCTTGGAGATCATTACAGGCAGAACTTTTCCCTTCTTTTCTTGTGGCTAGCTTGTGTTTTTTGGGGGTTTTTTGGTCTTTTTTTTGGCCACTGCGTGGCATGTGGGATCTTAGTTCCCTGACCAGGGATGGAACCTGTGCCCCCTGCAGTAGAAGCATGGAGTCCTAACCCCTGGACTGCCGGGGTATTCCTATGTGTGTATTTTTTAAATTTTTATTGAAATATAGTTGATTTACAGTGTTTTTGTAGTTTCAGGTGTACAGCAAAGTGCTCCAGTTATATACACACACGCTCACACACACACACACAAATTCTTTTTTAGATTCTTCTCCATTATAGGTTAGTACAAGATATTGAATATAGTTCCCTGTGCTATACAGTAGGTAGGTCCTTGTTGGTTATCTATTTTATATATAGTGATGTGTATATTTTAATCCCCAGCTCCTAATTTATCCCTCCCCCGCTTCTCCTTTGGTAACCGTAAGTTTGTTTTCTATGCCTGTGAGTCTATTTCTGCTTTGTAAATAAGGTCATTCGTATCATTTTTTTAGATTCCACATGTGATATCATATGGTATTTGTCTTTTTCTTTCTGACTGACTTCACTTTGTATGATAATCCTCTAGGTCCATCCACGTAGCTGCAAATGGCATTATTTCATTCTTTTTTATGGCTGAGTAATATTCCATTGTATATAGGTACCACATCTTCTTTATTCATTCCTCTGTTGATGGACACTTAGGTTGCAGAAAATACTTGTCGAATAGATAATAACGAAGCTGTTCTACCCAGCAGGTTGTATTATAACCCCTATTACAGAAGGGGAAACTGAGTCACACATTTGTCCTCACCCCTGTCTTCTAGAGGAGGAGCGAGTGCACATCCTGATCAATAATGCAGCTGTGATGCGGTGCCCCCACTGGACCACCGAGGATGGCTTTGAGATGCAGCTTGGCGTTAACTACCTGGGTGAGGCTGCAGGCTGTGTGGCATCAGCCTGGGACGTGAGCAGGAGCCCCCGTGGGCCAGACACAGGCTCCGGGAGGGGTCTTCCTCTCTCCATGTGGCCAGGCGGCCATGAGCAGGGTCACCTGGCAGCTCAGGGAATCGCCTGTTCATCGCTGGACCCTCAGTCCTTCGGACCTTCCATCAGCCTCTTGGCCATTCGTCCCTTTGTCTGTCTGTCCCCCAGTCTCTGTCTGTCCTTCTCTCACTGTGTCAGTTTATCTTTTGTCACCCTGAATGCATCTGCAGTCTGTTAGTAAGGGTGATGGACGTTGGGTGGACACCAATCATATAGGACTAAGGCCCACCCTAATGACCTCACCCTAATGGCCTCATTTTACCTTGATCACCTCTCTAAAGACCCTCTCTCCAAATAAGGTCACATGCTGAGGCACTGGAGGGTAGGGCATATTTTTTTAGGGGGGTTGGGGAGGGTGACACAATTCACCCATAACACATGTGACTACCCTTCACCCCCTTTGGGCTGGAACTCAGTCATGTGACCTGATGGAGCTGCAAGGGAGTCTGGGAAATGTAGTTTTTCACTGGGCAGTCTCATGCATAACCCAAAATTCTATCACTGAAGAAGAAATGGAGAAAGGATTTTGGGAGACAGAAGGCATCTCTTCTCTAGCTGACCTCATAGAGGGTTATCACAGGGCTTTGTGACAATTTGTTATCAGGAATGTCTTGTACATTGTAGGTTTTTTTTTTTTTTGACATGCCACACGGCTTGTGGGATCTCAGTTCACTGACCAGAGATTGAACCCTGGCTGCAGCAGTGAAAACCCAGAATCCTAACCATTAGGCCACCAGGGAACTCCCACATTGTAGGATTTTTAGCAGCATCCCTGGCCTCCACCCACTAGGTGGCAGTAGCACTCCCTCTACTGTCCACAATTGTGATGATCAAAATTGTCTCTAGGTGGTGCCAAATGCCTGCTGGTGGGGGGCGCAAAGTTGGACCCTGTTGAGAAAAATGGGTTATGGGAGGATGAAATAAGGTGATGTTCTCAGTATGGTCCTGTGCACGGGACAAGAACTCAGTGAAAGTTATCTTTTCATTTTCCATCATCCAGGTCACTTCCTTTTGACGAACTTGCTGCTGGACAAGCTGAAAGCCTCTGCTCCTTCGCGCATCATCAACCTCTCGTCCTTGGCCCACGTTGCTGGGCACATAGACTTCGAGGACTTGAACTGGGAGAAGAGGAAGTATGACACTAAGGCAGCCTACTGCCAGAGCAAGCTGGCCGTTGTCCTCTTCACCAAGGAGCTGAGCCGGCGGCTGCAAGGTGTGTGTGTGGCGAGCCTCGCTGGTCTCCCCTTTCCTTTAGCTCTGAGCCTGAAACAGTCCTGCTGTGACTCTGGGTGGACGGGAGGTCAAGCATTGGCTCCAGGACCGAGTAGGCAAACATATGACACACTCACCACCACGCTCCCTGCTGGTGCCTGAAGCAGACATCACTAATCAATCACAGCAGTCTTCTCTGCTTATCCCGGACAGGCACCTGAGCCTTTGGTGATCTAGACCAGTGAAGCTTTGGCAATACCTGGAGACATTTTTAGCTGTCAGTTTGCGGAGCAGGGGCAGGTTGGGTGATGTTCCTGGCATCTAGTCAGCAGAGGCCAGGGATGCTGCTCAGCTTCCTACAAGGCACAGAATAAAGAATCATCTGACCTCAGTGTCCATAGTGCTGCAGTTGAAAAGTCTGCCCTTTGCCTTTGCTTCTCAAAGAGTCAGTGGACCAGCAGTGTCAGCTCACCTGGGTGTTTGTCGTAATTGCAGCATCTCAGACCCCACCCTGACCCACTGCTTCAGACTCTGTGGGGTGGAGCCCGGCGGTCTGGGCTTCTCAAGCCCTCCAAGTGATTTTTACACACTCAGGTTCAGAGGCTCTGCCCTGGGCAGCCACGAGACAGAGCTGCCTTGCAAGTGAAACTGGGGATGTGGAGGTTTCAGAGCAAGAGGGTGACATGGATTCAGGGGGAGCCCCCTAGGATGGTTGGTATCAGCCTTCCTGGTGAGGGGTGAACCTGACGTCTGCCTGCCTCACTTTTTCCTTCTCTCCCCAGGCACGGGTGTGACTGTCAATGCCTTGCACCCCGGCGTGGCCAGGACAGAGCTGGGCAGACACACGGGCATGCATAGCTCCACCTTCTCCAGCTTCACGCTCGGTAAGTCCCGTCCCAGTTTGGGGTCCCTTAACTGAACCCCTGTCCTCCTAGCTTGGGGCTCAGGACCCTCCCTCAGTGTATTAGGGTCTTCCTGAGAAACAGAACCAATAGGATGTACATAGATATTTAGAGAGATTTATTGGGGGGATTGGCTCATGCATCTGTGGGGCCTGAGAAGTCCCAGGATCTGATCTGTATGCCAGAGGCCCAGGAAGGCTGATGGTGTAGTTGCAGTCCAAACCCAAAGGCCTGAGGACCAGGGGAACCGATGGTGTAAGTCCCAGTCCAAGTCGAAGGCCAGGAGCGCCAGTGTCTGAGGCCAGGAGGAAATGGATGTCCCTGCTCAAGGAGAGAGAGAGAATTCGTCCTTTCTCCACCTTTTTGTTCTGTTTTCACCCCCAACTAATTGCATGGTGCCCACCCACATTGGTGAGGGTGGATTTTACATAGTCTGTTGATTCAAATGCTAATCTCTTCACACCCTCACAGATACCCCAGAAATAATGTTACCTGCTTTCTGGACATCCCTTAGCCCTGTCAAGTTCACACATAAAATTAACATCACACTCAGAGACTATCTCAGGGGCTTTGCTCTGCCCCCTGCCCTGTATCTTCCCTGGTACTGAGTCACTTTCATATGTCTACCCAGCCTGCCAGCCTGAGAATAGCCCCGGGAAACAGGCCAGAGCCTGTTTGATGAGACTGTTTCAGAGGTGGAGGTCATGGAGCTGACTTCCTGGAGTCCGGCCATGCTTGGGCTAACTCCAGTTTCATCCCAAACTAGCTGGGCCACCCAGCAAAGTGACTTCTCTCCGAACCTCCCTTTCCTTATCTGCAAAATGAGGGTCATAATAGTACCTGCCTCAGTGGGGAGGATTAGATGAGACCTCCCTAAAAGAGCCAGCACAATTCCTGGCCGAATAAATAATTAGAGCTTTATAACTAGTGTTTATAATCCTGAAAAACATTTAGTTGGTGGGGGCTAGGTATCAGAGACCTTAAGCTGAAGCTGGCACTGGAGACACTCAATACACAGAAGCTACTTTAAAGAAAGATCGGGTGGGATGAGGACTTGGGGCTGACATAGAGGAGGGGGACCTTCTGTTTGCCTGGGAAAAGCCAGGGGGGCTTCCTGGAGGAGGCAGCTTTCAAGCTGGTCCCTGCATCTGGAATTATTTGTCTGGGCAGTGCCAGGGAAGGGAGCTCCTGGTGTTGGGAAACAGAGGGGTAAAGGCCTGGAGGAGAGCTCTGTGGGACTCCAGGGAAACTTCTGGCCTTCGTGGGCCCTGAGCCACCTGGGGTGGTGCTGGGCTTTCTGTATCTTCCTCTCTGAATGTGTGGACTGAACTCTCTGTGGGCCGATGCAGGGCCCATCTTCTGGCTGCTGGTCAAGAGCCCCCAGCTGGCGGCCCAGCCCAGCACCTACCTCGCTGTGGCGGAGGAGTTGGAGGGCGTTTCTGGAAAGTACTTTGAGGGACTCAAAGAGAAGGCTCCGGCCCCGGAAGCTGAGGATGAGGAGGTAGCCCAGAGGCTTTGGGCTGAAAGTGCCCGCCTCGTGGGCTTGGAGATGTCCTATGGATCCTCTGAGAGGGGACAGCGCCTCCCCAAATGACTTCTTGGAGCAGGTATGAAAGCCACCAGGGAGGCAGTCACCAAGATGGAACAGCAACCAACTAAAGCTGGCTGCCATGCCCGAAGCACCCTCTAGGTGGCAGTATTGGCCAAGGAATGCTGGCTGCCATGGCCACTGCACCCTCTAGGTAGCAGTCTTGGCCAAAGAATGCTGGCTGCCATGCTTGCAGCGTCCTCTAGGTGGCAGTATTGCCCCTTTTCTGGCCACAGTGGATTGGAGAGCAGGTGAGCTCTTGACCCAGGGGCTGGCTGGTACAGTGTGCCCTGCTGCCAACAGGTGAGCTGGCCCATCAGATGCCTCCCTTGGGAATCCAAACCAGGAATTTTGGGGTGCGGCATCAGCTCCCTCTGGTGTGGGCCATGTCGGGGACTGGATGGCCATGGGCAAGTTGTCTGGCTGATGCTTGAGTTCATGGTCCCCCGTTGGACCTTGCACACCTCCAGTCTCCTCTCTGAGCCTTGGTTTCTCCAGCTGTAAACTGTGCAGGATAATCTGACTACCTCATTGGATGGCCGTGAGTTATCGCTTGGCTTGGAGAATGGCAGCTGCATATTCCTTGCCGTTGGGTGTTTACTGAGGACCTTCTGTGTGCCAGACCCTGGCAAGGTGCTGGGGATGCCCTCCAGGAACAGACCGACTCAGATCTGGCCTTGTTATCTCCGCGTCACGCTGGGGACAGCATGGTGGGGAGGAACCACTGAGGAAACAGGATGCCTGGGATCACGACCTTCCCTCCCATCCCTACTCGCCAACTGCCATGCTGTGGGCGGCCCTTGGAGGGACCCGAAGTGGGCCTCTCTGGGCTGAAAGCAAGGAGTGAACAGTTCTGAGAGAAAGACAGATACCGTATGATATCATCATATGTGGAATCTAATTAAAAAATGATACAAATGAACTTATTTACAGAACAGAAACAGACTTACAGATATCAGAAAACAGACTTACGGTTACCAAAGGGGAAACGTGTGTGTGATGGGGAGGGATAAATCAGGAGGTTGGGATTGACATACACACACTACTATATAAGACAGCTAACCAACCAGGCCCTGCTGTATGGCACAGGGGACTCTACTCAGTATTCTGTGATAACCTAGATGAGAAAAGCTGAAAAAGAATGAACACGTGTGTATGTATAATTGAATCACTTTGCTCTACACCTGAAACCAACACAACATTGTAAATCAACTGTACTCAAATAAAAGTAAAAAAAAAAAAAGAGTGAACAGGTATGGTTCCTTCTGGAGGCTCCCAGGGAGAACCTGTTTCCTTACGTTTTTCCAGCTTCTAGAGGCGCCTGCACTTCTTGGCCTGTGGCCCCTTCATCTGCAGAGCAGACAATGGCAGGCCAGGTCCTTCTCACGCTGCCATCTCTCTGTTTCTCCCGCTTCTGCCTCCATCTCCTGTTTTTAAGGACTCCTGTGATATCACTTGGCCCATCCAGATAATCCAGGATCATCTTCCTCCTTTAAAGTCAGCTGATGAGAAACTTTAATCCCATCATCCACCTCAATCCCCCCTTTGCCTTGTAAAGTAACAGGGTTCTGGGGAATAGGATGTGGACACATTTGGGAGGACCCACTTTTCTGCCTACCACTCTGTCCTTTTCAAAATCTGCTTCCTTAGCACCCCCAGTGTACTTCCCATGCGTTCCCTTCTGCTCAAATAAAGAGGAATAAGCTTCAGGGACTTCCCTGGCAGTCCAGGGGTTAGGACTCTGCGCTTCCACTGCAGGGGGCATGGGTTCGATCCCTGGTCAGGGAACTAAGATCCCACATGCCACATGGTGAGGCCAAAAAAAATTTTTTTTAATTAAAAAAAAAAAAAAAGGAGTCAGCTTCACTAGTGTGGCTTGCAAGCAAATCAACTGAGAACAGATTTTTAAAATCACAAACTCCCTACCCGCTAAAAAAGAAGAAAAAAACTTGGGGGTGTGTTAGCAAGAAGAGGAATTCAAAGTCTGATTCTAGAACCCACTTTCTTTTTGGGGGCAGCGTTAGAGGCCTAAGTGCCCAGGAGAGCAGCTAATCACAGGGAGATTTGTCTATTATGTAGATGTGAGCAACACACCTCAGGGCTAATTCTAACCACAAACCTTCACAACCAGTGTCTGCTTCCTTTCTGAAACAGAAACCCCAAGGAGCACAAATGGTGACTCACACATCAACCTAATCCCCGTCTACTTCTCTGAAGGCTTTGAGGTGATTCACAAACCTAGCTACGACCTTCAGACTGATGAAAGATGATAGAAACCAATCTCAAACAAAACAATGCAAAACAAAACCCAAAGCCACAGAAGCCCAGAGAGGAGATGGCGCAAAGTAATAAACAGACCCAGGAATGCAACGTGAAAGGACAATGCTTCGGGGGTGGGTTCTTCACAAAGGGAAAGCAAGTCAGGGTCAAATCCTCAAACCTCACTCTGGGGCTTGGGAATTCTGTCAGGATGCCTTGGGCTGCTGGTGACAGGACATACTCAAAGGATGTAAGCTGAGCTGACTTTCACCCCAGGCAAAAGCAAGAAGGAACGCTATTTCACAGAAGTAGAAGCCCAGGGGTGTGGCAGGCTTTGAGTTCCGGAACATCATCAAGATTCCTACTGCAAGATGACGGTCTGACAGTTACCAGTGCAACGTCATTCCAAGGCTGGGTGTTTGTAACAGGTTGAATGGTGGGGTGCCTCCCCCTAAAAGATATGTCCAAGTCCTAACTCCCAATACCTGTGAACGGGAGCCAATTTGGAAAAAGTTTCTTTGCCGATGTGATTAGGGATCTCGAGGTGAGATTGCCCTAGATTATCTGGGTGGACCCTAAATCCAACAAGTGTCCTTAGAAGACAGAGAGAGCAGAGGAAGAAGCAATGAGGGGATTGAGGGCAGAGACAGGGATGATGGAGCCTCAAATCGAGGAATGGCTGGAGCCCCCAGAAGCTGCAAAGGGCAAGGAACAGAGTCTCCCCCAGAGCTTCTGGAGGGTGAGTTCCCTGCCCCGCCACTTTGAATTTGGACTTCCGGCCTCTGGAAGTGTGAGAGAATACATTTATGTGTTCTAAGTCACCAAGGTGATGGTATTTGTTACAGCAGCCAGAGGAAGAAACTAGTGCAGTCTCTTTGTGGGGTGGGTCGCGAGATGACTGTCAGAGCCAATCTGGGCCACTTGTTTTCTTGTTTTTTGCCCAGTGACGGGGAGAGAAGCATTTCTCTTTTATTTGTCAAATTGGGCTCAGGTCATGTGCTCATCTTAGAACCCACAAAAGCCCCCCAAGGGAAAGGCAGAAGGTAACGGACTTCAAGCAGGGTTTCCCAACACCAGCGCTGCTAACACTTGGGGCCGGATAATTCTTTGCTGTGGGGCAGGGGTCCGTCCTGTGCGCTGTAGGATGTCGAGCAGCAGCCCTGGTCTCTATCCACCAGATGCCAGTAGCCCCCACCGGCCGGGTGAGACCCCCAGAACTGTCTGCAGACATTGCCACATGTCCCCGAGGAGGGAAACTGGCCTTCGGTCGAGAACCACGGATGGAGGCGGATCTGGATATGTTTGCGGGTCTGTGAGCGAGCCGAGGGTGGGGTCAGGCGGAGCTAGTCACCAGCACACGGGGGCCTTGCTTGTTCTCACCTGGGCTTCATTGGGGTGGAGTGCAGCTGACAGGCAAGGTGCTGGGAAACAGGTCGTAATGGAAACAGTACAGGTGACTGACTCAGGGCAGCCTATCTCCTATGGAAGACACGCCACGAAATCCAGAGGTCCTGAAGCTGCAGGGCAGGTGCTGCTGAAAATCCGGCGAGGGGTCTTGTTATCACAGTGGCAGAGCTTCCAAGGAAATGCAGTAAGCATTCTTGGAACCCACCTGAGACCTGGGATTGGGTCATTGGTGTGGACGAACCTGAAGATCTTGAGCTGCTCAGTTTCCCTGAGAACACCCCCGTTGCTGGAGACCAGCACCCCTTGAGGGAAGGTCGTGGTTCTTCCTCAGGCAGGTGCCTCACAAGATGACGTTCCTCATCTCGAGGTCCGCCCCATAAGCTGCGGCGAATCCCGGCTCACATGCTGGGTGCATTGCAGGGTCTGGCTGAGGTGAACCTGGGGACCATACCTGGGAGTGGATTTCGGGGGAGTTAGACGGGGGATGAAATATGAGACCAGCTGTGGAGAATCCATGTGCAGAGGGTCACTCATCTATAATGAAGGTTTTATTTAATGTTTTGGGCTTTCTGGGTAGCTGGAGACTGTGGCAACTGCATGAGAACGTGTCTCCCACATAACCTCTAAAGACGGTGCAGCCCTATATTAATATCCTGATTTCGGTGACTGCACTGTGGTTACATACGAGAACGTCTTTGTTTGCAGGAAAACCCATCAGGATTTAGATGATGGGGCATCAGGTCTGCAACTTAGTCTCAGACGGTTCAGGTAAAAGTCCTTTGGACTTAAAGTATAGCTGATTTACAATATTATATGAGTTTCAGGCGTACAACATAGTGATTCACAATTTTTTAAAAAAATTTATGTATTTTTTGGCTGCATTGGGTCTTTGTTGCTGCGTGCGGGCTTTCTCTAGTTGCGGCGAGCGGGGGCTACTCTTCCTTGCGGTGCCTGGGCTTCTCATTGCGGTGGCTTCTCTTGTTGCGGAGCATGGGCTCTAGGCGCATGGGCTTCAGTAGTTGTGGCATGTGGACTCAGTAGTTGTGGCTCACGGGCTCTAGAGTATAGGAGTTGTGGCGCACGGGCTTAGTTGCTCCGTGGCATGTGGGATTTTCCCGGACCAGGGCTCCTAACCCGTGTCCCCTGCATTGGCAGGTGGATTCTTAACCATTGCGCCACCACGGAAGTCCTGTGATTCATAATTTTTAAAGGTTATACTCCATTTATAGTTATTATAAAATATTGGCTATATTCCCTGTGTTGTACAATATATCATTTTACCTTATTTATTTTATATATATGTGTGAAAACCACCACCAGAAAGAGAATGGTGTGAAAATAGTAAAAAAGCATTCAGACACATCAGGGCACTGACTACTATGGTCTTGGAAACGTGACCCTCCTTTGAGAGAAGAGAACTGAAATTAAAGGGGAGCGGTACCTTTTGTATACTGCATGGTGAAGGGAAAAAGGAGAGAGAAAGAAAAATTAGGATTTTCTAAGAAAAAAAGGAAAAAAAAAAATCAAGGACTTAAAACTCCACCTGTTTGCTAGTCATCTAGTAAAAAGCTGTACTTCACTACCCTGACAGCAGAGGGCATCCTTGTACTAAAAACTTTACAGTAGCAATCACGAGCATTAAATATATATTTAGGAATACATTGAACAAGAAATGTGCAAATCACCCCAAAGCCAACAGCTCTCTACATAGAAATACATGGGCACAAATAGGAATTATCAAACACTGCCACCAAAAGAAGCCACCCCCCCCCCACCTCCAAAAATGAGAATCTAAAAATTCAGTTGATATACAACTAAGAGCAGAATTGCTGTCATGTGGTAACAACTTGAGGAACTGCCAGATTGTTTTCCACCCAAGTTCGGAAAAACATTATTCACGACAGCCAAAAAGTGGAAGCAACCCAAGTGCCCATCACCAGATGAATGGTGGTCTATCCATACAATGGAATATTATTCAGTCATAAAAAAGGAACGAGGGCTTCCCTGGTGGCGCAGTGGTTGAGAGTCCGCCTGCCGATGCAGGGGACACGGGTTCGTGCCCCGGTCCGGGAAGATCCCACATGCCGCGGAGCGGCTGGGCCCGTGAGCCATGGCCGCTGAGCCTGTGTGTCCGGAGCCTGTGCTCCGCAATGGGAGAGGCCACAACAGTGAGAGGCCTGCGTACTGCAAAAAAAAAAAAAATTAAAAAAAATTAAAAAAGGAATGAAGCACGGACACATGCCATAACATAGATAAGCCTTGAAAACATTATGCTACGTGGAATTGCCACCTGGAAATATATTTATGGAATGCCTTTTCTGTATTTAAGAGGGCAAATCCTTGCACTAGGCAAAAGAATCCAGTTTAAAAAAAAAAGGTATATGCAGGAGAAAAACTTCAGAATTTAATGAGCGGCCTTAAACTAAATACATAATGGAGCTTAAGATTTTCAGTGAAAGATAACATCTTTGGGGGGTTTTGCCCTTCACACTCCAGCCCATAACGTGGAGTGAAGCCAAAGCTGTGACCAGGCTTGGGGATAGTTTTTCCATTTATCTCCCCCGCTTACACACACCATCAAGGACTTCCTCAGGGCAGAATCTCCTTGTTGGTATCTGTTCAATTTACAGATGCAGACTCAGCAATTCCTCCCTCAAAATGTAGCCTATGAATATACATGCATGTGGGAAACATGATGTGTTGATTACATTTGTAAAAGCATGTCAGTTGCATTTCTTTAATACAGCAAGGCTGGAAACAACGTAAAAGCCAGCAATACGGGTCATCTTAAGCAAATAATGGCGCATCCAAGAAAAGGAACATTTTGCAGCTGTTAGTAAGCACCAACACTATTTTGCTGTTATTTTTATTTTATTTTATTGCTGTTATTTTAAAACACATCGTATGGGAGAAGTGTTCAATGAGGGCATAGTGAAATGTGGGTGGATGGGACTTATGTGCCTGGACCCCAGCCAGTGGGGACACCATAGCACCTGCAGCAAGAGAGTAGAGAGAGGGACAGGAGATAAACACAATACCTCACGAATAGGCACTATTTTCCCCATGTGGCCAGGAGCAACCATCATTAACATGTGTCCAACAAAGAGCTTAAAATGAGAGTCTGTCCAAGGAGCCCTTTGGGGCTGGAAATTCAGGAGTGGGGTCATCTCCTTAGAGGTGACACACTAGGAGGATATTCCCGGGGTTGGATGGCGTGGCAAGAGAAGGTATAGGTTGACGGAGAAGATTTGGTGGATCTGATGAAATGGAATTGAGAAGAAGAAAAAGCAGAGGGGGGTGAGTCAGAGAGAGGAGAAAACTTGTCTTGAACCCCAAAAGCTGAGGATAGAAGATTTCGGAAGAGCCTGGGATCACAAGTGCCAGAGAGCGTGGAGAAGCACGGGGAAGCTGACGTGGGGAGAAAAGTTGTGGGTTGAACCAAGGGCTGATGACTCCTCCTTGCCAACCTCCACCGTTGTCTTGACGTCTTCCGCTCCAGGGTCTCCCCAAAGGGAACACGAGCAGTGGCCAGAGCTGTGCACTCGAATGAAGCATTGTGCAGCGGAGAATCTTGGGGTGTGGGTCACAGTTATGAGGGCTCCTCCATGGTCGGCTGAGGCTAACGAGCTCTTGACTTCCTCTTGAAATCCTTTCTGCTGAACCAGGCATCAACCAGGAAGACCCCCAGGATCACCAGAGACATTGCAGCCAGAGCGAAGCGGACGACGTTCTCTGCATCGTGGTTCCCAGGGGCAGCATCTGGGGACAGAGACAGAGAAATTCCTGATGTGGAAACTTGCCCAGTCTAACATCAGAAACCCCAGACTCTTTTTTTTTTTTTTTGGCCTCGCTGCTGGGCATGTGGGATCTTAGTTCCCTGACCGGGGATGGAACCCCGTCCCCTGCATTAGAAGCACGGTGTCTTAATCACTGGACCACTAGGGAAGTCCCCAGAAACCCCAGACTTTAAAAAAAATTGATTTATTTATTTTTGGCCGAGGCATGCGGCTTGCGAGATCTTAGTTCCCCAACCAGGGATCGAACCCATGCTCTTGGCAGTGAAATTGCGAAGTCCTAACCACTGGATGGCCAGGGAATTCCCAAAAATTGTTTTTAAAAATTGAAGTATAGTTGATGCACAGTATTATATGTTACAGGTGTACAGTATAGTGATTTACAATTTTAAAAGATTATACTCCATTTACAGTTATTATAAAATGTTGGCTCTATTCCCCGTGTTGTACAATATATCCTTGTACCTTATTTTATACCTAACAGTCTAAACAGAAGCCCCAGATTTGAAAATCATCATAGTTTCCTACAGCTGCGGTAACAAATTACCACAAACGTAGTGGCTTGGAACACTAATGTCTTATGATTCTGGAGGTCAGAAGTCCAAATGGGTCTCACTGGGCTTAAATCAAGGTGTTGGCAGGGCTGCGTGCCCTCTGGAGGTTCTGGGAAAGAATCTGTTTTCTTACCTTTCCCAGCGTCCAGAGGCGGCCTGACCTCGTCTGCTCACGGCCCCTTCCTCCATCTTCACATCTATCAATGACGAGTTGAGTCATTCCTATATCACATCACTCTGACACTATTTCTTCTACATTCAGAAACCCCTGTGATGCACTCAGCCTGCTGGGTTAATCCAGGGTGGTCTACTTATTTGCAACCTTAAATCAACCATAATTCCCCTTTGTGGTACCGGATTCACAGGTTCTGGGGAGGAGGGTGTGGACATCTCTGGGGCACAATTACTCTGCCTAGTATCACGATTGTTTTCTCATCCGCTCGGTTTGATCATTCTCAGCCGGGCAGCCCTGTTTGAACTGAGAACTCCCGAGTACCAGAATCATGGCATGGCCTTGTTCAGGTTGTTAACTGCGTAAGAGCAGTCGGTCAGCGGGTGGATAGGAGTATAACTATTCTGCTCTCCTCTCGCCAGATCATAAGCCCTAGCTGAAGGCAATGGTTGCTTCTAGGACTGATTTTTTTTTTGGCCACGCTGCACGGCTTGTGGGATCTTAGTTCCCCGACCAGGGATCGAACCTGGGCCCTCAGCAGTGAGAGCACAGAGTCCTAACCACTGGACGGCCAAGGAATTCCTTAGGACTGATTTTTTTCTTCCAAGTAATGAAGCAACATTTTAGGGGATAATGACTTGTAGTGGGTTGAACAGCGCCCCTCTCCCCTCCCAAGATGTGTCTGTCCAGAATCTCAGAATGTGACCTTATTTGGTATTACAAGTAAGGGTCTTGAAGATGTAATTAAGGGAAGGATCTTGAGTCCTCCAGTCCTGGATTAGGGTGAGTCCTAAATCCAATGATGAGCGTGCTTATTAGAGGCAGAAAAGGAGAAGATGGAGGGCAGAGAGTGCAGTGACGCATCTACAAGCCAAGGGAGGCCAAGAATTGCATCCACCAGCTGCGGGGATAGAGGCATGGCATGGATTTTCCTTCAAAGCCTCCAGAAGCAACCAACCCAGACGACACCTTGATTTTGGACTTCTGGCCTCCAGAACTGTGAGAGAATAGGTTTTTTTATTGTACATTTTTACAATTAAAAATTTTTATTTATTTTAAAAACTTCCATTTTTTTATTGGGATAAAATACATATAACATACATCTACCGTCTTGATCCTTTTTAACGTACAGGTCAGTGGTATTAAAGACTGTTGCGTGACCCTCAAGCCACCATCCGTCTCCAGAACTCTTTGCATCTTGCAAAACTGAAACTCTGTATCCATTAAATATTTCCTCATTCCTTTGTCCCCATCCCCCCAGGCCCTGGCACCCACCATTCTATTTTCTGTCTCTGTGATTTTGACCACTCATAGAAGTGGAATTATACAGTGTTTGACTTTCTGTGGCTGGCTTATTTCACTTTGCATAATGTCAGTTTCCTGTTCTTTCAAGCAACCAACTTTGTGGTAATTTGTAGGACAGCACTAGGAAACTAATACAGGGCTCTTCTAGTAACTTATCGATACTGTATGGAGGTGAAGGTCTAAAAGGATTATGAGAATTATGATCAACAGCTGGGGCTGCCGCTGATTTCCCTCACCTCAGACTATCTTCTCCTGGAGCAGGGGATGCCCCAACAATATTACTCACTGTTGCTTTTATTTCTTTTAAAGGTGGAGTTTTTTTTTAAGATTTTTTTTGATGTGGACCATTTTTAAAGTCTTTACTGAATCGGTTATAATGTTGCTTCTTTTTAAAAATAAACGTATTTATTTATTTATTTTTGGCTGCGTTGGGTCTTCGTTGCTGTGCGCGGGCTTTCTCTAGTTGTGGCGAGCGGGGGCTACTCTTCATTGCAGTGCACGGGCTTCTCATTTTGGTGGCTTCTCTTGTTGCAGAGCATGGGCTCTAGGCGCGCGGGGTTCAGTGGTTGTGGCACGTGAGCTCAGTAGTTTGCAGGCTCAGTAGTTGCAGGCTCAGTAGTTGCGGCACATGGGCTTAGCTGCTCCACGGCATGTGGGATCTTCCCAGACCAGGGCTCGAACCCGTGTCCCCTGCATTGGCAGGTGGATTCTTAACCACTGCACCACCAGCGAAGTCCACATTCCTGTCAGGCATGTGGGAATCTTAGCTCCCTGACCAGGGATCGACCCTGCACCCCCTGCATTGGAAGGCGAAGTCTTAACCACTGGACCACCAGGGAAGTCCCTAAAGTTGGGAGCTTTAATTAATGGAATTAATTTTTTAAAACCCAGCTTTTGGTTAGTTTTGGGTTTTATGAAGTTTTTTGTTTTTTGGTTTAATACCTTTTTTTTGGCTGAACCTTGTGGGATCTTAGTTTCCTGGGCAGGGATGGAACCTGTGTCCCCTGCAGTGGAAGCTTGGAGTCCTAACCACTGGACAGCCAGGGAAGTCCCTCACTGTTGCTTTTTCAGGGCTAAGATCCCCTCCATCTCTGCCCCATGTTTTCAACCCCAGTAGCACTGGGTCTGCAATCCCCATCAGGGACTCTTTGGTCACAGGTCAACAAGCTGACATTTGAAAATGGCTCTGCCCCATAGACCCTCATACAATGATGGAAATGTCCTTTATCATTTGAGTTTTACTACTGATTCTCTAGGGCTGTGCTGTCCCATATGGGAGCCGTTAGGCACTCAGTGGCTGCAGGGCACATCACGTGCCTATTGCAGCTGAGGAAGTGAATTTTAAGTTTTATTTAATCTTCATTAACTGAAAGCAAAGGAACTGCCTCTAGCCAGCTGCTGCCATAGTCTGGGAGTCCCGGGAGCAGGTGGGAAGCGTGGGGACCCTCACCTCTCTCTGGGAGCATCAGGACATCACTGGGTTCTGACCAGAGGTAGGGGAAGTTCTTGTGTAGACCGTGGTAGCATCTGTAGGTCCCCGGGTGCATCAGGAAGATGGCATTCACAGGAAAGTCGGCCTCAAAAGCCCCAGCTCTGTACTTGGAGCTTAGGTTCTGGGCAAATTCTACTCTTCCGTTCCTGGAAAGAACGAAAGCCTCACACCAGGTCTCTGAGTGATACCGCAGACTGAGCTTCTTAGAGGGGGTCTTCTTGGAGAAGGTGCCCCAGTGAGCCGAGAGGGAGGGTTTTCTGTCCACACCTGGGAAGGAAGAGAGCCAAGGTGGTGAGTGGGCGGGCGCCGCTCCTCGCTCCCTCCCGATTTAACCTGAGCACATCTTCCTAACGCCCAGAAAGCATGCTTCCTGTCTTGCTACACTTGTCAGAAGCTTGAGGCCTCTCCAATTTTGTCCTTGTTTCCTCTGTGTCTCTTTTTCTCCCTGATTCATTCAGTCTCCATTACTGTTCCTCTCACCCAGGAGTCCTTACTGTGACTCAAAAGGTCCTACAGGGGGGCTTCCCTGGTGGCGCAGTGGGTTAAGAATCCACCTGACAATGCAGGGGACACGGGTTTGAGCCCTGGTCCGGGAAGATCCCACATGCCGCGGAGTAACTAAGCCCATGCGCCACAACTACTGAGCCGGCGCTCTACAGCCACAACTCCTGAGCCCACGTGCCACAACTACTGAAGCCCGAGCACCTAGAGCCCGTGCTCTGCAACAAGAGAAGTCACCGCAAAGAGAAGCCCACGCACCGCAATGAAGGGTAGCCCCCGCTCGCCTCAACTAGAGAAAGCCCGCGTGCAGCAACGAAGACCCAATGCAGCCAAAAAAAAAAAAAAAAAAAAACTTGTGGAAAAATAATCTGCCTGCATCCCCCTGTGTGTTGCAGTCTTCTCAAAGGCATCCCTGCGCCCCCAGGGTTGCCCAGGCGTGGGTCAGGCACCTAAGGGCTTCAGGAAATTTTTACTCGATACAGGCAGTGAATCTGGGTTTCCACTTGGCCTTTTATGTCACACACCAACATGGAGGTGACCCAGTCTGAGAAAGGGCCTGGGAAGATCATAGGCTGATAACACACCCCACTGCAGGGAGCTGCCTTTTCTTCTCCCACAGCCTGAGCGAGTCCGTTTAGGGGTCCAGGGAGTTCACAGGGATGGAGAGGGTGTCCGAGCCGTAGATTCCTTACCTGTGACTATGAGCTTCAGTGGTTTACTGGAGCTTTTCCATTTATAGGGGAAAGTCTTGTACGAGCCATACACCTGTAGATCCCGCTGTGGGCTGCTGTCACTGGGGAGATGTGGAATCTATTATAGCTCTGCTTGATGCAGTTCATGAAGTCACCTTCACCATGTTGCTTGGACAGAGTAAAAAGATCATACGTAGATCCTGAATTACAGTATAGGGTCCCAGTTTCTCCTAAAGTCACCACAGGGTGTGGCTGGGCAAAGAGTGACAGTGCACCTGTGTACACATCTGAAAATAAGGAGGAACTGGCATTTACCATAAGCCATCAACAACTCTCAAATATTTGATAGAATCTATATGTATAAACGCTCAAAGCAATTCATTTCAGTGTTACATGTAATAACAGGAATATGCTCCTACTATAATTTCCTGACAAATGAAAATGATATATTCTGTGGAGGAAGAAGGTCACAAGATACTCAGATTTTCATACATGATGTCCAGGATTCATTAAAAAAAAATTACCTCCTATATGTCCAAATCCATCAAGATGTAGACGTTAAATATGTAAAAATTTATTTGCATAGCAATTACACCTCAATAAAGGTTGAAAAATTACTTGCTATGTTAGGGGTAAGAAAAGATGTTCCGGACTTCCCTGGTGGCGCAGTGGTTAAGAATCCGCCTGCCAAGGCAGGGGACATGGGTTTGAGCCCTGGTCCGGCAAGATCCCACATGCCGTGGAGCAACTAAGCCCGTGCACCACAACTGCTGAGTCTGCGTGCCACAACTACTGAAGCCCGTGTACCTAGAATCCATGCTCCGCAACAAGAGAAGCCCGCGCACCGCAATGAAGAGTAGCCCCCACTCACCACAACTAGAGAAAGCCTGTGTGCTGCAACGGAGACCCAACAGAGCCAGAAATAAAGAAAGAAATTAATTTAAAAAAAAGAAGCCTATATAAGACATCAAATACTCAGGAATTTACATGTTTCTCAGATTAAAGGAAGGTCATTTATCATCCCAAGCAAACTAAAACACTCATTTCTAGTGAGTTGATATTAATGCCCCCATCAGAGATTTTTGGTCAGGACATAAACCTTGGAATGCAGCCATTCAGGAAAAATTTACTCTTAGCTGAACCTTTTCATACCCACTATTACTACAGAGAATCCATATCCTACAAAAGATCTGGTCTTCCAGGCATCTTCCCTGGACCCACATTGCTCTCCACCAAATTCTCTAGTTTGATTTAGGTCTGCAACACCATCCCTAATAGCTTCATATATTAGATTCAGTCTTTTCGAACTACATTTCACCTCATTTTTGGGGGGCTGGGTAAAGCTGCCTTCAGTTCTTCTATGGTAGATAAACAAATCATTGTGGAGAGCATGGCACAAATCTCCCACGTCTTTGTGGCTGTAAGATCACAGCAGGAAACCCACAGAGTAACTCATGCCCAGCGGGGTGATATGGTGGAGGGTTGAGAGGCAAAGCCTTAGTCTTGCACAAGGAGCGGTTCCCCTTTATGTTTAGCAGGGGATGTTGTCACTCCTCGGCAAGGGGTTTAAAGCCCCAGGCTGTTCCATCCACGGGCGTGTCCTGCTGCGAAGATTTGCTGCCCAGTTGGCTGTGCTGCATGGTGTGGAGCTGTGGACTTAGGCACTGCCATGTCCCTGGGGGTCATTTTTCTTCTTGGACTTGGTGAGTGGGGCCAGGGAAGTTGTGTGGGAGGCTGGTGAGGGAAGAGGATGTAGATAAGAGGTTTATAACCTGGGTTCCTCTTGTGGGACTCTTCCTTTATGAGGTCCTAGGGTCAGTGACTTATAGAGAGATCACCCATAGGGCCACTTTTCTTCAGTTTGGTCTAGATGTGATGCCCTGAGCTCAGGTGTTTGGGAATCATGTATTATCAGGAGACATCTCTTACCAAGTCTTTCTCTGTTTTAGTGTCTTGCTGGGATCAAAGGATTTGGGCACAAACGGGTGAGTGTTTTCTCCCTTTTCTGCCTAGAGAACTCTGAATTGGGCCGAGTGGACTGAGGGATGAGCTTGAGTAGCCTTGAAAGAATCCCAGCCTTTAACCTGCACCGCCTCTTCATCCACTCGTCGTGTTATTTATTTTTAATGTTTTAATTCTTCACCATTATGCCAATCTTTGGTGGAAAACCTCTCCCCTTCTCTGGAAAGCTTCCTGATCCCCTGCTCTTCCCCATCAGCACAGATGAGTCAAGAAGGGAATGCCCAGGTTTTCAAATAATGCAGAAAGGGAACACAGTTGAGGTCGACATTCATAACGCAGACACAGAGAACTGGGGACATTTGTACGGGCACCAGACCCCACTGTGGGTATGGGACCATCACCCATTGGGTGTGTTGTGTGTCCTTTCCATTTGCTATCACCTCAACTGCTTCCATCTCCCTCATCTATGGAAGGTTTGTTTACAGGAAGGTACTCCTGCTTGGGAGGCAGACTTGCAGCAAAATGAAGACCTCGGGCTTCCCTGGTGGCGCAGTGGTTGAGAGTCCGCCTGCCGATGCAGGGGACACGGGTTCGTGCCCCGGTCCGGGAAGATCCCACATGCCGTGGAGTGGCTGGGCCTGTGAGCCATGGCCGCTGAGCCTGCGCTCCGCAACGGGAGGGGCCACAACAGTGAGAGTCCCGCGTACCACTAAAAAAAAAAAAAAAAAAGGTATTTAAAATGAAGGCCTCAACATTTACTGGTTCTGGGACATTTTGCAAGCAGTTTCCTGCATTTGGGTCCCAAGTTCCTTCTTTCTAAAATGAAATAACGGGAGTTCCCTGGGGGTCCAGTGGTTAGGACTTGGCGATTTCACTGCCATGGCCCAGGTTCAATCCCTGGTTGGGGAACTAAGATCCCACAAGCCACGGGGCATGGCCAAAAAAAAAAAAAAAAAAAGAAGAATGGTGTTGCATCAGTTAAGATACAATGCATGTCAAGCTCAGACAACAACATTTTGCTCAGATTAGGGGTCATTGCGTAATGTTAACAATTGCTAGATAACATTTATTGAGGTTTTCCCATTGCCAAGGGCTAGTCTTAGCTTTTGTATATATGATCTCATTTTAATCTTATTAACTCCACCAAGAGGTAAGTTGATTTTTTCATGTTCCAGATATATTGAGCCCTGGATGTGACCTTGACATTGTACTATGTGTTTGGCATAGGTTTTTAATAAATTAATTAAAGTATAATTGAAGTACAATGTTACATTAATTTCAGGTGTGCCACATAATGATTTGACAGTTATATACATTATGAAATGATCACCACAATAAGTCTAGTAACCGTCTGTTCCCAAATAAAGTTATTAGCACATTATTATTGACCACATCCCCTGTGCTGTATATTTCACCCTTGTCATTTATTTATTAGGTAACTTAAGGTTTGTACTTCTTAAACCCCTTCACTTATTTTGGAAGCTACCCGTTTATTTCTCTCTGGTTCTGGACTCTATTTTCATTTTGTTTGTTTTGTTCTTTAGATTCCACATATAAGTGAGAGCGTATAGTATTTGTCTTTTCTCTGACTTATTTCACTTAGCAGAATACCCTCTAGATCCACCCATGTTGTCACAAATGGCAAGATTTTTTTTTTTTTTTTCGGTATGCGGGCCTCTCTCTGTTGTGGCCTCTCTCCTGTTGCGGAGCACAGGCTCTGGACGCGCAGGCTCAGCGGCCATGGCTCACGGGCCCGGCCACTCTGCGGCATGTGGGATCCTCCCAGACCGGGGCACGAACCCATGTCCCCTGCATCGGCAGGCGGACTCTCAACCACTGCGCCACCAGGGAAGCCCAGCAAGATTTTTTTTAATGACTAATATGCCATTGTATATACCTATATATCACATCTTCTTTATCTATTCATTTACTGATGGACAATTAGGATTGATTCTATGTCTTGGCTATTGTAAATAGTACTGCTATGAACATCGGGGTGCATGTATCTTTTAGAATTTGTGTTTTCATTTTTTTCGAATGTATACCCAGTAGTGGTAGTTCTATTTTTAGTTTTTTGAGAAGTCTCCATACTGTTTTCCATAGTGGCTGCTCCAGTTTACGTTCCCACCAACAGTGTATGAGGGTTCCCTTTTCTCCACATCCTTGCCAACACTTGTTATTTGTGGTCTTCTTGATGATAGCCATACCGACTGGTGTGAGAGAATGTCTCGTTGTGTGTGTTTTATTTTTTAATTAATTTATTTATTTTTGGCTGCATTGGGTCTTCATTGCTGTGTGTGGGCTTTCTCTACTTGCGGCAAGCAAGGGCTTCTCTTTGTTGCTGTGCGCGGGCTTCTCATTGCAGTGGCTTCTCTTGTTGGGGAGCACAGGCTCTAGGCACGTGGGCTTCAGTAGCTGTGGCTAACGGGTTCTAGAGCGCAGGCTCAATAGTTGTGGTGCACAGGCTTAGTTGCTCCGTGGCATGTAGGATCTTCCCGGACCAGGGCTCGAACCAGTGTCCCCTGCATTAGCAGGCAGATTCTTAACCACTGCGCCACCAGGGAAGTCCCTCGTTGTGGTTTTAATTTGCATTTCTCTGATGATTAATGATATTGAGCATCTTTTCGTGTGCCTGTTGGCCATCTGTGTGTCTTCTTTGGAAAAATGTCTATTCAGTTCTTCTGCTAATTTTAAATCAGGTTGTTTGGGGTTTTTTGCTGGTGCTTTGTATAAGCTGTTTACATATTTTGGGTACTAACTCCTTGTTGGTCGTATCATTTGCATATATTTTCTCCTATTCAGTAGGTTGTGTTTTCATTTTTTAAAAATCTTTATTTATTTATTTATTTTTGGCTGCATCAGGTCTTAGTTGTGGCACGTGGGATCTCTTGTTGTGGCCCACAGGCTCTTCGATGTGGCATGCAGGCTTCTCTCTAGTTGTGATGCGCAGGCTTCAGAACACGTGGACTGTGTAGTTGTGGTGCACAGGCTCCAGAGCGCATGGGCTCTGTAGTTGTGGCATGCGGGCTCTCTAGTTGTGGTGCACGGACTCAGTAGTTGCGGTATGAGGGCTTAGTTGCCCCGCGGCATGCGGGATCTTAATTCCCCGACCAGGGATCGAACCCAAGTCCCCTGCATTGGAAGGCAGATTCTTGACCACTGGACCACCAGGGAAATCCCTGTCTTTTCATTTTGTCATTGTTTTCTTTTGCTGTGTGAAAGCTTTTATGTTTAATTAAGTCCCATTTGTTTATTTTTGCTTTTTTTCCCTTTGCTTTAGGGAGATAGATTAAAAAAATATTGCTACAATTTATGTCAAAGAGTGTTCTGCCTGTATTTTATTCTAGGAATTTTATGGTTTCCAAGCTTACATGTAGGTCTTTAATCCATTTTGAGTTTATTTTTGTATATGGTGTTAGAGAATGTTGTAACTTCATTCTTTTACATGTAGCTGCCTGGTTTTCCCAGCATCACTTATTGAAAAGACTGTCTTTTCTTCATTGTATATTCTTGCCTTCTTTGTTGCAGATTAAGTGGGTTTATTTCTGGGCTTTCTGTCCTGTTCCATTGATCTATATGTCTGTTTTTATGCCAATACCATACTGTTTTGATTATTGTAGCTTTGTAGTATAGACTGAAGTGGGGAGTGTGATTAAATCCAGCTCTATTCTTCTTTCTCAAGATTGTTTTGACTATTTGAGGTCTTTTGTGTTTTCATAAGAATTTTAAAATTATTTGTTCTAGTTCTGTGAATAATGCCATTGGCATTTTAATAGGGATTGCATTGAATCTGTGGATTGCCTCAGGTAGTATGGCTATTTTAACAGTGTTAATTTTTCCAATCCATAGACATGATGTATCTTTCTCTCTGTATCATCTTCAACTTCTTTCATCAATGTTTTATAGTTTTCTGAGGGTCTTTTATCTCCTCAGGTAGGTTTATTCCTAGGTATTTTATTCTTCTTGCTGTAATGGTAAATGGGATTGTTTACTTAATTTCTCTTTCTGATGTTTTGTTGTTAGTGTATAGAAATGCAGCAGATTTCTGTATATTAATTTTATATCCTACAACTTTACCGAATTCATTGATGAGCTCTATATTAGTTTGGTGGTGTCTAGGATATTCTTTTATATATAGCGTCATGTCAACCGCAAACAGGGAGCTTCACTTCTCCTTTACAATTCAAATGACTTTTGCTTATTTTTCTTGTCTGATTGCTGTGTCTAGGACTTCCAATACTATGTGAATAAAAGTGGTGAGAATGGACATCCGGGTCTTTATTTCTGATTTCAGAGGAAATGCTTTTGGCTTTTCACTGTTGAGCATGATGTTGGCTGTAAGTTTGTCTTATATGGTCTTTATGTTGAAGTATATATGTTCCCTCTATGCCCACTTTGCTGAGAGTTTTTATCATGCCAAGCAATGATATTTGTTCTTAAGTTGACAGGGAAGACTAACATTGGATTAAAATGGGTAGATTAAAGATGATCTGCTTCAGTTGTCCAGTATCTGCTGATGGCTATCAAACTTATCACTCACTCCAGTCAAAAATGCTCCTGTGAATTTCTTATCCAATGGAATCTTTGACATCTGCTCAGACACCTAATGAGAATCTCGGCAGAACTCCCAACACATCTCAGAACCTCCTCCTTGTATTGGTCTTCCCATCTCAATAGATGCCATACATCCTATCCAATGATCAATTCATTGAGAATGATATATGATGCTCCTCTTTTGCTCTCAGTGCCCATCTGCTCCATCTCTAAATCTCAAAGCTCATCATTTCTATCCTCAAAAACTCAAATCCATTCCCTTCTTTCTTTCATCACCACCGCATTGTCATTACATGATCATTTGTCATGTAGCTGCCTGTAGCATGTTCCCTAATTGTCCCTCCACTTTCCACCTGGCCCCTTAAATCCATTTATCACACCAGAAATGTAATTTAAAAAATTACAAGCTCACTGCTTGTTAATCCCTTTGTGGGTCATTATTACATTTAGACTTAAATCCAGACTCTTCTCCTCAGCTTCCAATGTTTTGGACCTTTGCTGATATCTCCTGACCTTTCTATCTTTACCAAGAGCCATTTTTCACATTATGTACCATTTGTCCTTTCTGTGTGTGGGTCACGCAAAACTCCTTCTCACCTCTGAGTTTGCATATGTTGTTCCCTCTTCCTGGAAGGCAGTTCTTCTTGCACTTCGGAGATCTATGTGTTTCTTATCCTTCGGGGATCATCTCCCAAAAAAATCTCTCTTATAATGCAGGGTAGATAGTTTTATCATATAATAAGAGTAACAACTTCTGTGTATTGGTTCACATGTCTAGACTCTGTTATTGGGTAGGTTCACTACAGTTTCCAAAACATCCAATAACTTGCCTCATATATGGAAGACAGACAATAAATATTTATTGAATGGATGAATTAATCCAAGAGGAGATCAATAACAGATCTTCACTGTTTACTAATTCCTAGATCTACCTGAAGTCTACCTAAATCCTCCTGGAGATGAATACCTTCCCACTGTGATTGTGACCTCAGTCATCAGCATTCTACCTTTCCTCTTCCTCCTTATCTTTCTCCTCTGCTGGTGCTGGTGTCGAGCCAAAAACAGTACGTCCTGGAGGGGGAAGGGTTAACCTGGGAGGAGTGTGGGGAGGGGCTTTGTGGGTCCCCTACCAGGACTCTGATCACTGACTCTCTGTAGGAGCCACTGAGGATGACACCAAGGGCCAAGTGAATGATAACAGGTAGGAACATTTGGACTCTCTCAATAGAGAATGCTGTGTCTGTCTCATTTCTCAGACCTACCTGAATGCGTCTATCTCCTTTCCCTTAGCTCCAGCCCAGACATGGACTTCCAGGAAGAAAATCAACGTAAGAGGAGTGAGAAGTAGGGGTAGCCAGGGTGGGGAAGATAGAAGGCATCCTAGAAGAAGCCGAGAAGGTTGGGGGCAAACCTCACTGGGTGTGACGTCACCGCCCTTCCCCGATTTCAGTCATCCATCTCTGAAATATAGATGGCAAGACTGGGTAATCTGAAGGCTCTTCCTGGAAGCCTCTCCTCTCCTCTTTTCCTGCAGATGACGTCTCAGTGGATATCCCGCCTGAGGAGGACAGACAAATGGACATGCATGTGAGTCTTTCCTCCTTCCCCTGCCCCCTCCCCCAGGTGTTCTCCCCTCACTTTGTATCTTCATGCGGGCAGGTCCACACAGAGGAAGACCCACCGGAGTCTTCTGAGTCTTCTGCTCAGCTACACCAGGACCCCCTTACAGGGAGCGGGGATTCACTCCCGTCCTGTACCACTGAGGATTCCATAAAATAGCCCTGTGTGTATGCCACCTTCACCTTGTCCAGAGAGCAGAGCCAGAGCTGGCTGTGTGGACTCCAGGGTTCAAGTGCCCCTTAAGGAAAATGGGGCTTCGTGAGTTGTCCTACTCATGTACCCACGCCACTCATCATCCTGGAGTCCCCGCAAAGGCTCAAGAATAGAGAAGCCTTGTCAACCATAAAGAAATTCTGGGACGCATCACATATCTCTCAACGGATTCCTGGTTCCTTGTGTATTTACCCACTCATTTGCTTATTTAACAAATGTTCACAGAAGCTGACGATATACATATTAGTAAGATATAGCTTCTGGTCTTTTTTTTTTTTCCTTCTATTTTGCATATTGGTTTTTATTTCAAATCAATGTCAAAGAGAACAATTGCAAAAATAGGACAAAAACTCCAATTTACCCTTCACTTGGCATAGCTTCTGGTCTTAAGGAGCTCATGGTCTACTGAGAGAGGCAAATCACATGATCTGGCCCTTAGAAAGCAAAGAGGGAGCAGGCATTAAGGATGAGTTGGGTCACTGAGCAGGAACAATTGTCCAAGCATGTTTAAGGAGAACTCACTGGTACCAAAATACAAGGAGAAGCCAAGAAGTAAGAGTCGGGCTTCCTTGGTGGCGCAGTGGTTACGAATCCGCCTGCCAATGCAGGGGACTTGGGTTCGAGCCCTGGTCAGGGAAGAGCCCACATACCACGGAGCATCTAAACCCGTGCACTACAACTACTGAGCCTGCGCTCTAGAGCCTGTGCTCCGCAACAAGAGAAGCCAATGCAATGAGAAGCCCACGCACTGCAAGGAAGGGTAGCCCCCCTACTCGCCACAACTAGAGAAAGCTTGTGTGCAGAAACAAAGACCCAACGCAGCCAAAAATAAATAAAATAAATTTATAACAAGAAGTAAGAGTCAAATTGGGCAAGGAGGAGGGCCTTTTCTGGCGGTCCAGTGGTTAAGATTTGGCACTTCCACTGCAGGGGGCACGGGTTGGATCCTTGTCGGGGAACTAAGATCCTGCATGCCACATGACAAAAAAATTGGGCAAGGAGGCAGTTCCTAATGGCGTTTCAGTCTAACGTTCTAGGAGTTTCTGAGAGCTGAAGCCTTCAGAGCAGCAAAAAATGAACAAGGAAATGTTCTTTGTAAAGGAACCAAACTGCAATAATTCAACTACAGACTTGGGGAAGGGAATGATGCAGAGGGTGTTTAGGCCGGGGATTTATGGTTTTTCCCTAGTTTTGGTGAACTTCCCCCTTTAGTTATGCAATTAAAATAAATAGAACACAAACTTAAAAACTTTTGCACAGCAAAGGAAAACGTAAACAAGACAAAAAGACAACCCTCAGAATGGGAGAAAATATTTGCAAGTGAAGCAACTGACAAAGGATTAATCTCCAAAATTTACAAGCAGCTCATGCAGCTCAATATCAAAAAAACAAACAACCCAATCCAAAAATGGGCAGAAGACCTAAAAAGACACTTCTCCAAAGAAGATACACAGATTGCCAAAAATCACATGAAAGAATGCTCAACATCATTAATCATTATAGAAATGCAAATCAAAACTACAATGAGATATCATCTCACACTGGTCAGAATGGCCATCATCAAAAAATCTACAAACAGGGCTTCCCTGGTGGCGCAGTGCTTGGGAGTCCGCCTGCCGATGCAGGGGACACGGGTTCGTGCCCCGGTCCGGGAGGATCCCACATGCTGCGGGGTGGCTGGGCCCGTGAGCCATGGCTGCTGGGCCTGCGCATCCGGAGCCTGTGCTCCGCGACGGGAGAGTCCACAGCGGTGAGAGGCCCGCGTACCACAAAAAAAATAAAAATAAAAATAATAATAGTAATAATAATAATTCAATACGTTTTGATGAGAGGAAGTAGAGAAGAAAGTTAATGGTAGGGTCAGTGAAATACAGCCAAGTGGTTTGGAGTGGAGAGTAGAAGAAATAGAGGGGAATTGAGAATGTGTGTTGATTGATGGAAATAGACCCAGGGAGAAAAATAATGTGGACGATGTTGGGGAGTGACATTTGGTGGGAGAGCATAGTAATAAGAGCTCAGAGTCTAGAATAGATGGGTTAATTAGGATTCACATTCTCTTCTGCACCCACTAGCTGAATGATCGTGTACACATTTAAAAATTATTCTCTTCAATATCCTGTAATAATCCATAATGGAAAAGAACATGAAAAAGAATATATATACGAGGCACTTCCCTGGTGGCACAGTGGTTTAGAATCCACCTGCCAGGGCAGGGGACATAGGTTCGATCCCTGGTCCAGGAAGGTCCCACATGCCACAGAGCAGCTAAGCCTGTGCACCACAACTACTGAGCCTGCGCTCCAGAGCCTGAGAGCCACAACTACTGAAGCCCGTGCGCCTAGAGCCTGTGCTCTGCAACAAAACCCACCGCAGTGAGAAACACACGCGCCGCAACTAGAGAAAGCCTGCGCGCAGCAACGAAGACCCAACACAGCCAAAAATAAATAAATAAAATAAATTAATATATAAAAAAAGAATGTATATATGTATAACTGAGTCATTTTGCTGTACACCAGAAACTAACACATCTTCAATCAACTATACTTCTATTAAAAATTAATAAAAAGATAAAAAATATAAGACAAGGGACACCAAAGATTGCCAGCAAGTCGCTAGAAGCTAGGAGAGAGGCATGCACCAAGTCCCCCCCACTCTGCCCCTACCTCTACCCCGCAGTTCTCAGAAGGAAATCTGCCAGTATCTTGATCTCAGACTTCTACATTCCAGAACCATGGCACAATAAATTTCTATTGTTTGAGCAACTCAGTTTGTGATACTTTGTTATGGCAGCCCTAGGAAGCTAATATACCATCGTACTGGCAAAGATTAGAAGGCTGGGTAATCCCACATTTTTAAAAACTTCTTACTTTATATTGGAGTACAGTTGATTAACAACGTTGTGTTAGTTTCAGGCGTACAGCAAAGTGATTCGGTTATACATAGACATGCATCTACTCTTTCAAATTCTTTTCCTATTTAGGTTGTTACAGAGTACTGAGCAGAGCTCCCTGTGCGGTACATAGGTCCTTGTTGGTTATCCATTTTAAATATAGCAGTGTGTACCTGTCAGTCCCAAACTGGGTAACCCCACATGTTGGGGGTATTGGGGAGGTATGGGGATCCTCTTGCACTGTTGTGGGGGAAGAAACTGGTGCGGCGAATGCAGAGTTCAGTTTGGCAGTAAGTAAATGAAAGATACACTTAAGAGCTGGTTTGCCGTTGGGTGCATGTTTCAAGGACATTTCACATATGTCCACAGAGGCACATGTAGAATGATATTTAGCTCAGAATTGTTTATCTTGGAGATATTTGGATATGATGTGGCTGTCTGTTACTGGGACAGTGGAGGGATAAATGTGTTGGAAGCAAATCAATATTCTACAGATCTATGAAATCTCTGTGGGCAATGGAAAGACGAATGACTTCCACGGCATTGCACAATTTACAATACAGTATACATTTTGCACGGTACGAAATCACGTTTTGCAGAAATGAACTAATTCACATGAGATATTGTAGAGTTGTTCCTTGGAGATGGAGAAAAGAAATGAGAACTAAAGGGCATACGTAAAGTAAACAAGGGAGAGACTCTGCCTAGATCCATGTGAACATGTGCTAAACCAAAGGAAAATGATTTATTTGGCTCCCAGCACCCAAGCTTCACCTAGAAAAGCACGTTTTCTTCTAAGCTCAAGTTTTCTCACCAGAATGGGACTAAAGCAGAACCTGTTTCTCAGCCTTGCGTGAGGATCATATGAGGGAATGCTTGAGAAGTGAGGAGTATTATAAAGGGATATTTGTGCATCCAAATTTATCTTGCCCTCTAAGTCCCTGAATGATGTAACCCAACGGTTCTCAACTGGGGGTGATTCTGCACCCCCCCAGGGGACATCCGGCAATGTCTGGAGACGTTTTTGGTTGTCACAACTGGAGGGGGCATAGCGCTAGTGACATCTAGTGGATGGAGACCAGGGATGCTGCTAGCCCTATTAATACACAGGACAGACCTCCCCTACTCCAGCAGAGTCACCTGGTCCAAATGAACTCATTTACAAAACAGAAATAGACTCACAGAGAAAACAAACTCATGGTTACCAAAGGGGGTAGCGGGTGGTGGTGGGGAGATAAGAGTTTGGGATTAATAGATACACACTACTTATATATAAAATAGGTAAACAACAAGGGTCTACTGTATAGCACAGGGAACTATACTCAATATCTTGTAATAACCTATAAGGGAAAAGAATATGAAAAGGAATATACATACCTACATATATATACATACATACATGTAAGAATACACATGTATATGTATGTATGTATAACAATTGCTGTGTGTACAAGTGAAACTAATACAACATTGTAAATTAACTATCCTTCAACTAAGAGAAATAAAAGACAAAAGGAAAAGAATCACCTGCAAAAGTTGGGCCATCCTGATCTGACCCTTATAATCGCTTCAGTCTTAGTTTTCTGCTCACTTAAGTCCAGCTACACCAGTCATTTTCTGGTTACATGAAAATGCCAAGCTCTTTATTTCATCAAGACTTTAGGGCAGGCTGAACGTGCTGCCTTTCCTCTATGAATATTTCTTACCATCAGGCATGCCCTCAAACATCACCGCTCCAAAGAGAAGTTCCCTGAAACCATGCTATTACAGAGATCCGTCAGACAGTATTCCGTGTCAGCACCTTGCTCAAAACACTTATCAAAGTTTCCATGCATTTTACGCCGGTAGAGGTCTAAAATGGTGCCTTAACTTCCCATTCTCCCTTCCCGCAGCCCCTGATAACGTCCAGAGCCCTTTCTGTCTCCATGAATTTGCCTATTCCGGATATTTCATATAAATGGGATCATATGATGTGTGGTCTTTTGGGTCTGGATTACTTCACTTAGCCTAATAAAGGTTCATCCAGGTCGTAGCCTGTGTCAGAATTTCGTTCCTTTTAAAGGCTGAACAATATTCCACTGTGGTATGTATACACCACAGCTTATTGGTCCTTCCATCAATGGACATTTGAGTTGTTTCCATTTTGGCGATTGTGAATAATGCTGCTGTGAACAGAGGTATACAAATATCTGTTCAAGTTCCTGCTGTCAGTTCTTTTGGGTATATACCCAGAAGTGGAGTTGCTGAACCATTCACTGCTTGACGTTTTGAGGAAATGTTTTCCACAGCGGAGGCACCATTTTATACACCTACCAGCAAAGCATGAGGACTCCAACTTCTCCATTTCCTCACCAACATTTGTTAATATCTGTCTTTTTGATAGAGCCATCCTCGTGGGTGTGAAGTGATATCTCATTGTGGTTTTGACTTGCATGTCCCTAATGAATGCCAGGGAGCTTCTGGGAGTATCAGAACGCAGCCGATGCCTCGCTAGGCAGACCTGCTGGGACACTGGGCTGGTGACGGGAGATAAGCCAGGCTCCTTGGAGCTTGTGTGCAAGTCATTCTACTGAGGGGACGCCTCCAGCTTGATGAGTCTCAATGAGGAAAAGCCAGGCCGATGGGGGAAGGGAGGAGAGCATTCTTCATTCCCATCACATCCTGTATCTCTGCTCCAGCCCGCACCCAGGGCTTCCCTCCTGGCTATACAGCTCAGGACAGGCCGAGGAACCATGTCCCCAACCATGGCTGCCTTCTTCTGTCTTGGTGAGTCAATCTGCAAAATGCTGAGGGATAGGCAGTGGGCTATGAGACAAAGAATTTTTTTTAAATTGTATCAGTACAAGAGGCAAGAGGAAACTTTCAGGGCAGGAGGTGACCAAGGGTCACCGCATTTATTTGTTGGGTGGGAAAACTGGGAGATGGTGTTTGTCTGAATTACTCTAGTTTATTCATGGCTGAGTTAAAAAATAAATACAGGTTTCCCAGTGTTGACTGCAACGTTCCCACTACTCCATGCCGTTTTAATTTTAATTAATTAATTAAAATATAGTTGATTCACAATGTGTTAGTTTCAGGTGTACAGCACAGTGACTCAGATATATACAAATATATGTTCTTATTCAGATCTTATAGGTTATTACAAAATATCGAGTATAGTTCCCTGTGCTATAGAGTAGGTCCTCGTTGTGTGTGAGTTTCTTTTATTAAACTGTTATTAGATTCTTTATAAAAGTTTATGCTTCTTTTTACAAGTTGTAAGAGAACATATAAGAAAACAATAAATTCTGTTCTAAGCCCCCCTTAACTCACCAACAGTAGCCAATACTAGTTTATCCTTCTACATTTATCTTAATTTTTTAGTACAAATGTGTACACATATGTACCTAGAGTTTTTTCTTATAAAAATAAGAACATATGGTACACATTCTGCAGCTTACTTTTTGACACATAGCAGTAGACATGTATAATTTTTAATTTATTCTTTTAAATAGCTGAATATTATTCCACAGTATTTAAACATTTCCTTGGCTCTTCGCTTTTTCTTGTTGTTGTTGTTGTTGTTGTTTTTTTTTTGCGGTACGCGGGCCTCTCACCGTCGCGGCCTCTCCTGTTGCAGAGCACAGGCTCCGGACGCACAGGCTCGGCGGCCATGGCTCACGGGCCCAGCCGCTCCGCCGCATGTGGGATCTTCCTGGACCGGGGCACGAACCCGCGTCCCCTGCATTGGCAGGCGGACTCTCAACCACTGCACCACCAGGGAAGCCCTAGTTGTTAATTTTTATTGGAGTATAGTTGATTTACAATGTTGTGTTAGTTTCAGGCGTACAGCAAAGTGAATCAGCTATACATATAAATATATCCACCTTTTTTAAGATTCTTTCCACATACAGGCCATTATGGAGTATTGAGGAGAGTTCCCTGTGCTATACAATTGGTCCTTGTTATGTTTTAATTTTTAATTTTGTTTAATGTGGATTTGGTATCAGGGCTAGATTACAGATTTAGCTTGTCAGTATCCCTCATGATACTGGTGCAAACAATTCTGCCATTTGTGACAACGTGGACGGACCTTGAGGGTAGTATGCTGAGTGATATAATCCAGATAGAGAAAAACAAATACTGCAGGATCTTACTTATACATGGAATCTCAAAAACCCACAAAAGCGGAGAGTAGGTTGGTAGATGCCAGGGGCTGGGGCAGGGGGGTGGGGGAAATGGGGAGGTAGATGTTGGTCAAAGGGTACAAACTTCCAGCTATAAGATGAAGAACTTCTGGAGATCCAAATTATAGAATGATAATCATAGCTAATAATACTGTAGCATATACTTGAAATTTGCTAAGAGAGTACATTTAAATTTCTCACCAAAAAAAAAAAAAGATAATTACGTGAGGTGATGGATGTGTTAATTAGCTTGATTGTGGTAATTATTTCACAAGTCATCATGCTGTAAACCTTAGATATATAAGATTTCTGTTTGTCAATTAACCTCACTAAGGCTCTAGTAAGAGTCCCCCTTAACAGGACTGGGGGTGGGCTCAGATGCGTTTTTACTGCCTTCTCCGTATCAAGCTTTATTCTGGGCACGTGTGTGCATTATTTCCTTATTTCTTCAAAAGAACTTTATCGCTAAAAGGACCAGAGGCTCCAAGCGGCTAAGAAGGAAGGAAACAGTTGGTGTTACTGGGGATAAGAGTGTATACTATGAAAACAAACTGCCTCTCATTCACTTATTCACTCTTTAAAGACACTCATGTAGCACTTACAGATACATTATTTTATGTTTTTAAACGGACACTTACTCATTTAATCCCCATAACAGCCTGATGAAGTAGGGCCTACGATTATTCCCATTTTACAGGTGAGAAAACTGAGGCCCGGAAGGATGAAGTAACTTGTTTAAGGTCACACAGCTATGGCTCGAATACAAACTAAGGAATGTTTGCACCAAATCCACATTCTTTACCACGAAAATATGCTGCTAGTGTTTGAATCTACCTGGTCGTGGGCCTCATGGGACCTACTATGCAATATATGCTGTATATTATTTGTTGTTTACCTGAAATTCAAATTTCACTGGGAGTCCCATGTTTTTATTTGCTAAATCTGGCAACCCTAGGGAGACTTAAATTGTTAATGCTACTAACTCAGCAAAACGGTTTAAAAAAAAAAGTCTTAGCTTGAGAGAAAAAGGGCAGTTTTTCAACCTAGAGAAGAATTAGTTCAGTTAGAAGAGAAAATGGGGGGAAGGCACCTCCAAGGATAAAAGTGGAATTTATAGATGATGCAGTTTGATAGATGTGTAAAGTTACATGGAAAGGCTATTGAAAATTGTGAAAAGAATTAGATATAGGTTCAAGGAACACTATGTGGATGGAAATAAACCATACAATTATTGATCCTAGGGAAAATAAATAGAAAAATAGTATGTAGGTACATTATAATGCTCAGGTGTGAATAATATTTGCGCAGTCATAATAATGACTTAACCCAAAAGCACAAAATAGGGAGAATATTGATTTAACCCAAAAGCATAAAACAGGGAGGAATCCAGTATTAATGCACCCTGAGAGCCCTTGACTTACGATTTAATGCAAGACACCACATCGGGATCTAATATATAGCATGGTGATTATAGCTAATAATACTGTAATATACACTTGAAAGCTGCTAAGAGACTAGATCTTCAGTGTCCTCACCACTAGAAGGAAATAGCAACTATGTGTCCGGCTAGAGGTGTCAGCTAGTACTATGGTGGTAACCATCCTGCAACAGAAAAATGTCCCAAATCAACACTGTCACACGCACACCATGTTACATGCCAATTACATCTCTAGGAAACTGGAAAAAAGTGAGAGCCCCCTTCTACCACCCAGCTCCCACCACTCCAAAAGGAAACCTCATACCCGTTACAATCACTCCCCAATCCCCGCTCCTCCCGTACGGTACCCGCCACCCCCCTCCCCCATCTACTGTCTCTGGACGGATTGATCCATTCTGGATGTTTCATATAAATGGAATCATACAATCATGGCCTTTTCTGGCTGGCTTCTTTCACTTCGATTACATGCATGTGTGTCTCTGAAAAAAAATTATGACGAAAGAAAGCGAACACCTGAAACTAACACGGTGTTAATCAACTATACCCCCAACATAAAATAAAAATTAAAAAAAAAAAAAAAAGCCAATGCATGCAAGTTTCTCATCCCGGTGCCCAGCACGCAGGAAGTGTGGATTCATGCTGAGGTCCTGGTGACTGACCCTTTGCTTCTTTCCTCAGGGCTGTGTCTGGGGCAGGTGATACAGGCTCAGAAAGGTGAGTCCAGATCCCTCTTCTGGGTTCAGCCAGCGAGAGGGCAGGAGGGGGTGGGAAAGCCCAGGAGGAGGCTCTGTTGGAAGCTGACCTCTGCTAGACTCTGCTTCCCTTCCAGGCCTGCTGCCCAAGCCTTCCCTCCAGGCCCGGCCCAGCTCCCTTGTGCCCCTGGGGAAGCCGGTGACCATCAGCTGCCAGGGCCCTCCAGGCGCGGACTTGTACCGCCTGGAGGAACTGATATCCCGGAAGTATTTGGACCAGGCGGAGCTCTCCATCTCGGCCATGGAACAACGCTTCGTCGGACGCTACCGCTGCTCCTATCAGAGCGGGACCAGCTGGTCTCCCCCCAGCAACCAGCTGGAGCTGGTTGCTACTGGTAACTGGGCGTGGGGTGCGGCTGGATTTGTAGCCGCAGGGCTGCGTGGTCCTCAGTTCTGGGCTCAGACAGTGGGGGTTATGGTGACCGTAAATCCAAAGTCCCAATCCAGAGTCCCAGAGGCGTTGGGCTTAGGGTGGGGCAAGCGAGGCATTGGCTTTAAGTGCTAAATTTAGGTGCCAAAAAACTCAGTAATCAACATAAGTAATACGTTAATGCAATATCTTAAAAAAAAAACCCCAAAACCCAAATCAATGCAAAAACATCCACGATGTACACAATACCGCAATTTTAAGTAAAGACAAATTCCAGGAATGCCGTTCCAAGCCACATCCAAACCTGACACAAGAGGAAAAATGCGTACCCCTCTAGCCACATTTATGCACTGAAAAAATAAATTTATTTATTTCTTTATTGGCTGCACTGTGCAGCATGCGGGAGCTTAGTTTCCTGACTAGGGAGCCAGCCCATGCCCCCTGCAGTGGAAGCACGCAGTCCTAACCACCGGACCGCCAGGGAAGTCCCACGTTTATGCCTTTTTATTTTTATTTTTTGATGGAATAAAATGTTCTCAGCATATCCTTTTCTAGCTAATGCATTTTTAAATGATTATTTTCTGAAGTGGCTTCAAAAAATATTGAGTTTGCTTCCATCAAAGCCAGGAGAGTAAAATGAAAATGAATTCTGTTTATTTTTTGTATAAATAAAATATTTAAACTTAAAATAATGTGAGTTTTAGTAATCTACTTTTAAACTTTTCAGTCTTTTTTCAGCTATGTTCATAACGTGGAAAAAATGAACCGTAAAAAGCCATAAAAACGTTTTGAGCCTTTTGCCTCCAATTATCAGGCAACTTTCACTGTTGTGGGTACTTGTGTGCCAGGCGTGGATTGGGATGCTCTGTGATGATAATAATAGCAAGTTATATAGCAGGGTAGGTTCATGTTTCAGACTTCAACATGGCTCCCCTGGGCACAGGTGGATTCTGTCTTTGTTTAAAATCTTGATATTTTGTTTCCTGTAAATGTGTTTGCATTCATTTTTATTTTAAAATTTGCGTTAAAATAATATTTCTCTTGATTACTGAAGGTTTTTTTTTTTTCATCCGAAGAGAGTGCCTAGCTTGCCTCACCCTAACTCCTGACTACTTGAGGTACAGTGGTCCACCAGTGTGCCTTGGGGGCTGACTCAAATACTATCTTTTTTTAATTTAATTTTTTATTTTAAAAAGAAGGTAGCTTATTTATTTGTTTATTTATTGGCCTCACCACGCAGCATGGGGGATCTTAGCTCCCCCACCAGGGATCAAACGTGCGCCCTTGCACTGGAAGTGCAGAGTCTTAACCACTGCACCGCTAGGGAAGTCCCCCATCAAATACTATCTTCTCATTATTTCCCTCACCACCCTACTTAAAATTCCATCTCGATTTAAAATGGCACTCATCATTATCTGGTATGCCATGCATTTACTTATCTATTTTTTTCTTAACTTATTTTTATTTATTTATTTGTGGCGGTGTTGGGTCTATCGTTGCTGCGCACGGGCTCTCGAGTTGCCGCGAGCAGGGGCTACTCTTCATTGTGGTGCCTGGGCTTCTCAGTGCGCTGGGTTCTCTTGTTGCGGAGCCCGGGCTCTAGGCGTGCGGGCTTCAGTAGTTTTGGCACGTGGGCTCAGTAGCTGTGGCTCGTGGGCTCTAGAGCACAGGCTCAGTAGTTGTGGTGCACAGGCTTAGTTGCTCTGTGGCATGTGGGATCTTCCCGGACCAGGGCTGGAAACCGTGTCTCCTGCATTGGCAGGCAGATTCTTAACCACTGCGCCACCGGGGAAGCCCTACTTATCTATTAGCTGTTGGCTATTCTTTCTTCCTGACGGGATTTTTTTTTTTTTTCTGACGGGATTTTTATTTCTAGAGACTAATACATAATAGTTGTTCAGAGGAAAAAATTGTTGAATGAATGAATGAGCCATAATTATCAGGCAACTTTGGCTGTTGTGAGTATGGCTTTCCAGGCGTGGCTTGTGACGCTCCATGATGATAGTAATAATATCAAATTACATAGTAGGATAGGTTCGCCTTTAGGAGCAGACAGCCTGGAGCCAACCTCCGTGATTGCAAATTTCAGCTCCGCCACTTATACTATCTTGTGACCTCGGATAAGTGATTCAGCATTGTGGACTTTAGTTTCATGTATAAAGTGGGGATATTTATAGGAATGAATGCATAGGTCTTTGTGAGGGTTCAGTGAATTGATAAATGGCATGGTCTCGGAACAGCACCTGGAATCTGGCACTCTAATACGTTTACAATATAACTATTGTATACTGTAATACAAGCTTACGGTATAATATCAGGTTAAGCTAGTTTGTTACTACCATTATATTTTGGGTGCTTGCTATGCACTCCGTATTCTGTTAAATGCTTAATACATATTGTTTCATCCAATCATTCCCGTTTTATAGTAGAGAACACGGAGGCACAGATATAGGGGGAGATTCGTCCAGCCCCTAAGCTGCAAAACCAGGATTTGAGCCTGGGTACCGTCATGTCACTCCTGTCATGCTCCCTTAACCACTTTGTGAGCTGGTGGTGGGAAGAGTAGCTTCTCTAGGCTGGATACAGCTGGAAAGTTCCCTAGCCTGTAAAGAGGTGGGGGAGCCTTCCCAACCCCACAGCTGAGACACTGGCCACCATCTTTATTTATTTATTTATTTTCAGTTTTAATACTTTTTTAATGGTTTACAATGGTGTGTTAATTTCTGCTGTACAGCAAAGTGATTTGGTTTTATATATATATATATATTCTATTTATTAAAATATTCTTTTCCGTTATGGTTTATCATAGGATATTGAATATACTTCCCTGTGCTATACAGTAGGACCTTGTTGTTTATCCATTCTGTACATAAAAGCTTACATCTGCTAACCCAACCTCCTACTCCATCCCTCCCCTAGCCCCTTCCCCCTTGGCAACCACCAGTCTGTTCTCTATGTCTGTGAGTCTGTTTTTGTTTCATAGATATGTTCATTTGTGTCATATTTTAGGTTCCACATAGAAGTGATATCATGTGGTATTTGTCTTTCTCTTTCTGACTTACTTCACTTAGTATGATAATCTCTAGTTACATCCAGGTTGCTGCAAATGGCATTATTTCATCCCTTTTTATGGCTGAGTAGTATTCCATTGTATATATGTACCACATCTTCTTTATCCATTCATCTGTTGATGGACATTTAGGTTGTTTCCATGCTTTGGCTATTGTGAGTAATGCTGCTATGAACATAGGGGTGCACGTATCTTTTTGAATTAGAGTTTTGTCCGGCTATATGCCCAGGCGTGGGATTGATGGATCATATAGTAATTCTATTTTTAGTTTTCTAAGGAACCTCCGTACTGTTTTCCACAGGGGCCACCATCTTTAATACCAGAGTTTTCTTCTCTCCCAGGAGTTTTCACCAAGCCCTCGCTCTCAGCCCAGCCCAGCACGGCAGTGGCCCCAGGAGTGGACGTAACTCTACGGTGTCACACCCAGTATAGTTTTGACCAATTTGCTCTGTACAAGGAGGGGGACACTGGGCCCTACAAGACACCTGAAAGGTGGTACCAGGCTGATTTTCCCATCACCACGGTGACTGCTGCCCACAGTGGGACCTACCGATGCTACAGCTTTTCCAGCAGATCTCCATACCTGTGGTCGGCCCCCAGCGACCCCCTGGAGCTCGTGGTCACAGGTTAGGGGTGCAGACCAAACCGTTTCCCCCAGCCTTCACAGGCCCTGGTGGAAGCTCCAAGGGGAGGGAGCAATAGGCATGAAGAAAGTGGGAGGGCAGGAGAAGACAGAGGCTTTGGAGGGTGTATGAGTGTCTGAGTGCTGCTGTAACAAATCACCATGAATTCACTGGTTTAAAATATCACAGATTTATTACCTTACAGTTCTGGAGGTCAGAAGTCAAAAAGGGGTCCTGCGGGGATAAGACAAAGGTGTCAGCCAGCCTTCTTTCTGGAGGCTCAAGGGGAGGTTTCTGGTGCCTCTTCCAGCTTCTAGAGGTGCCTACATCTCTTGGCTTCCATGGTCCATTGCTCCATCATCAGAGTCAGCATCATAGCATCTTCTAATCTATCTCTGACTCTTCCTCCTTCCTGCCTCTCTCTTATGCTTTTAAGGACCCTTGTGATTGGCCCCACCCAGGTAGTCCAGGGTAATCTCCCCAGCCCAAGATTCTTTTTAAAAAATTTTTTATTGAAGTATAGTTGATTTACAATGTTGTGTTAGTTTCAGGTGTACGGCAAAGTGAATCAGTTATACATATACATATATGCAGTCTTTTATTTTATTTTTATTCTTTAAAATTTTGTTTCTTCCTTTTTCCTTTTTTTTTTTGGCCGCACTGTGTGGCATGCGGGAGCTTTAGTTCCCCGACCAGGGATCAAACCTGTGCCCCCTGCAGTGGATGCACGGACCCCTGGACCACCAGGGAATTCCCTACTTTATTTTATTAATTAATTAATTTATTTTTAGGCCGGGCCATGCAGCGTGTGGGATCTTAGTTCTCCGAGCAGGGATCGAATCTGCGCCCCCTGCATTGGGAGTGTGGAGTCTTAACCACTGGACCACCAGGGAGGTCCCTTATTTTTATTTAAAAATTTTTTTTTATATTTCATATTGGAGTATAGTTGATTAACAATGTTGTGTTAGTTTCAGGTGTATGACAAAGAGATTCAGGTATACATATACGTATATCCACTCTTTTTAAGATTCTTTTCCCATACATTACAGAGTATTGAGCAGAGTTCCCTGTGCTATACAGTAGGTCCTTATTAGTTGTCTGTTTTCTACATAGTAGGGTGTAGGCATCGATCCCAATCTCCCAATTTGTCCCTCCCCCGCTTTCCCCCGGTAACCATAAGTTTGTGTTCTATGTCTGTGACTCTGTTTCTGTTTTGTAAATAAGTTCATTTGTACCCTTTTTTTAAGATTCCACATATGAGCGATATCTTGTGATGTTTGTCTTTCTCTGTCCTGCTTACTTCGCTCAGTATGACAATCTCTAGATCCATCCATGCTGCTGGGAATCAGCCCAAGATTCTGAATCATATCTGCAAAGTCCCTTTTGCCATGGAAGGTACCATAGTCACCGGTTCTGGGGATTAGGATACTGTCATATTTGGGAGGCCATTATTCTGGGTATACACACTAAGAAAAATAAATTTTATTTATTTATCTATCTATTTATTTATTTATTTTTGCGGTACCTGGGCCTCTCACTGTTGTGGCCTCTCCCGTTGCGGAGCACAGGCTCCGGACGCGCAGGCTCAGCGGCCATGGCTCACGGGCCCAGCCGCTCCGTGGCATGTGGGATCTTCCCGGACCGGCACACGAACCCGCGTCCCCTGCATCGGCAGGCGGACTCCTAACCACTGCGTCACCAGGGAAGCCCTAAATTTTATTTTTAAAAATGTTTTGGTCATGCTGTGCAGCTTGTGGGATCTTAGTTCCCCAACCAGGGATTGAACCCATGCCCTCAGAAGTGAAAGCACAGAGTCCTAACCTCTGGACTGCCAGGGAATTCCCAAGAAAAAAATGTTCATTGCAGCTATATTTACAATAGCCAGGAGATGGAAACAACTTAAGTGTCCATGATCGGATGAATGGCTAAAGAAGATGTGGCACATATATACAATGGAATATTACTCAGCCATAAAAAGAAACGAAATTGAGCTATTTGTAATGAGGTGGATGGACCTAGAGTCTGTCATACAGAGTGAAGTAAGTCAGAAAGAGAAAGACAAATACCGTATGCTAACACATATATATGGAATTTAAGGGAAAAAAATGTCATGAAGAACCTAGGGGTAAGACAGGAATAAAGACACAGACCTACTAGAGAATGGACTTGAGGATATGGGAGGGGGAAGGGTAAGCTGGGACAAAGTGAGAGAGTGGCATGGACATATATACACTACCAAATGTAAAATAGATAGCTAGTGGGAAGCAGTCGCATAGCACAGGGAGATCAGCTCGGTGCTTTGTGACCACCTAGAGGGGATAGGGAGGGTGGGAGGGAGGGAGACGCAAGAGGGAAGAGATATGGGAACATATGTATATGTATAACTGATTCACTTTGTTATAAAGCAGAAACTAACACACCATTGTAAAGCAATTATACTCCAATAAAGATGTTAAAAAAAGAAAATTTAATACTATGAATAATGCCTTGTGACTTGTCTAGGTAAAAAAAAAAAATCCACAAGCAAGCAGCAAGGGTGGTGCGAGGGGAAAGCGAGGCTGTGTTTTATTCCTTAGGCAGTTCCCTTTTCTCCCCACGTGGGATGCCTGTCTTCCCCAGATGTATCCCATAGTTTCTGTCTCCTCCTCTGCTTCCCAGGAGGCAAGAGCCCGGTTTGTTCCCAGGGAAGGCAGGTAAGTAAGACGGCAGGTCACAGAGATCCAGAAGAAAGGAAAGCACCGAGGTTCGAGAAGCAGGGAAGGCAGCTGCAGGGAGTGTCATTAATCAGCCCCAGAACGTGCTAGGTGTGCCTTTCAAATGCGATTTAACACCCACGACAGTCCAATGATGGAAGCATCTTTATTTTTATTTTCCAGGTGAGGAAACTGGGTTTGCTCAGGATCCATACCTAACAGAGCACAGAATTCTCTGTCTTTTCTTTTTCTGATTTCTCAGGGACCTCTTTTACCCCCAGCTGGTTGCCTACAGAACCACCTTCCTCTGTGACAGGTAAGTTCCGGAGGATTCACCCTGGTTTCTGTGGTATAAGGCACATGGACCCCCTTTTCTTTCTCCTCTTTGTCTAGATTTCTCAGTTCATTTCATTTGCCTCTTTCACAGATTTGCTTTATTTTTAAAAATTCCTTATTTCTGCTTGTAAAGAAGGTATAATAAATGTATAGATATGACTATCCCCTCTTCTCTCCAGCCTTTCGGGGATGGTTTATGATGTCTAACCTGTAGAAGAATAAGCAGGGTGGCTTGTAAAATTGTAGATTCCTGAGCTCCAGTTCTGAGTCTCTGATTCCATTGATCAGTAGTTCTCAAACTGTAGTGGGCTTGAGAATCACCTAGAGAGCTTATACAGGACAGATTCCTAGACCCGTAGAGTTTCTGATTCAGAGGGTCTGGGGTGGGGTCCAATAATTTTCAAGTTCCCGGGGGATGCTGATGCTGCTGGTCTGGGGATGCTACTTTGAGAACCACTGCACTATCTTTTGTGTGAGCCATGGTCTTCCCAATTTTCATGGCATCTCAGCTGCTTCCGGCGGTATCGGATGTCAGCCTGTGTCTTAAGAAATAGTACGCTAGGTCTTCCCTGGTGGCGCAGTGGTTAAGAATCCACCTGCCAATGCAGGGAACATGGGTTCGAGCCCTGGTCCGGGAAGATCTCACATGCCGCGGAGCAACTAAGCCCGTGCACCACAACTACTGAGCCTGCGCTCTAGAGCTCGTGCTCCACAACAAGAGAAGCCACCGCAATGAGAAGCCCGCGCACAGCAACGAAGGGTAGTCCCCGCTCACCGCAGCTAGAGAGAGCCTGCACATAGCAACAAAGACCCAGTGCAGCCAAAAGTAAATAAAATAAATTTTAAAAAAAGAAAGAAAGAAATAGTACGCTAGGCTGTGACATCTCGAAATGACACCTGACACCTCATTTCTTATTAAGCCACTCAGAAGTAGAAGGCAGTATATTTTGGGCTTTTTGAGTTTGTCTTTCCTCTGTGTCTGGGCAGTGTGTGTTAGAGAAACGGGTTCCAGGGAGACTGGATATCTGAGAAGGGGTATGGAGAGTAGGGACTTACTGGGCAAACCTGGCATTACCCAGTTCCTTATAATCTTCTTGCTTAGAATTCTCAGAAGCCTCCAAGAAACTGAACCACTCACTCGTGAACGAAGTTGCCACCACTGGTGAGTAGCCAGGCGCCCACTGCTCAGCAGAAAGGAGTTGGAGGATTGGGCTCTCTTCCATCATCTCAGGCTGTAGGCTTTTTTTTCTTTTAATTTTTAAAAATTTTACCATGTTGTGTTTCTACTGTACAGAAAAGTGAATCAGCTATACATATACATATAATCCCCTCTTTTTTGGATTTCCTTCCCATTTAGGTCACCACAGAGCACTGAGTAGAGTTCCCTGTGCTCTACAGTAGGTTCTCATTAGTTATATATTTTATACATAGTATCAGTAGTGTGTATATGTCAATCCCCCTCTCCCAATTCATCCCACCCCACCCCCGCTTCCCACCTTGGCGTCCATACATTTGTGCTCTACGTCTGTGTCAGGCTGTAGGCTTTTAATCTGCTTCTCAAAACCACCTGATTCTTCCCAGGAAAGTCCTGGGTTTGAAGATGAGGATGGGATGGAGATGGGCTCTGAGTTTGGGGGCAGAAGAGTGTTCTGGGTAATGTGGCTCTTTCCAAGATGGCGGCACCAAGGCTATCATGGGAAGGCCATTGCTCGTCCCTACACATTGCTCTTCTGACTTGGCTCTGATCCATGTGTGTAATCTCATTCCCATTGCTTCCAGGCAGAGCCCATGCTTCAGCCCCAAATAGATCATAGTTACCTGGACACAGTACATTTTTCTTATTCCTCCAGTCCAATGCAAATATGCTTCCTTTATGTTGCCATTCTCTTTGCCCTTGGCTTCCCCAGAAAAAAGTCTCCATTTCCCCCAAGATGGAAGACCTTTGACAGATCCCCAGACGACAGGTTAGATATCTCCACTGCGTCCACACAGCTCTAGCTTTTTTTAGGTTCCTGATGCCAGCAGGGTCTTTCTAAGACCCTGATGAGATTCCTCTTCACCCTTTGTTCAAAACCTTTCTGGGTTCCCAGTCACTCTCAGGACAGATAGGAAAACTGACTCATACATGTGAAGTCATTTGCCCGAGACCCTGCATCTAATAAGTGATGGGTCTGGGGTTCAAATTGGAACACCCTGACTCTACAGTTCATGCTCTTCTTATAACCCTGGAATTCCAGCTCCCAAGTGCATGTGTTCAGGATAGCGGTAGAAGCAGGGGTAGGAGAAGAGATGGTTCCACCCCTTTACACTTATCCTTTTTGTTTCCCAGAAACTTCTAGGAATATCACCATCCTTCCAAAGGAGTCAGACCCTCCATCTGGTGAGCAAGTGTCCTTCTCTGGACCAACTTCCTTTCCCCGTCCCATGTCTTTACCCAAAGCTGGCTGCTTTCCCTACACAGAAGCTGCAGCTCTGTGATCTTGGGTTCTGGTGTGTAAAGTATGAAGTGGAGGGGGACTGTTAGTGTGTGGAGCTCCGAACTGGGCAGGGATCAGGTGTGAAGGTGACCTTCTCAAAGGTCATCTCTCTCCCCACCCGTTACAACTGTCTCCTGATCCACAATTAGCCAAATAACCAGGTAGTGTCTGTGTGTGGGGTGAGGCTGTATCAGAGGCCTGCGAGGGGGTTTATGGAAGAGGTGATACTTAGACAATTGGGCTTATTTAATCCTAACCTGTGTGTGGGGTGAGGCTGTATCAGAGGCCTGTGAGGGGGTGTATGGAAGAGGTGATACTTAGACAATTGGGCTTATCTAATCCTAACCCTTGGTGAGGAGGAGAGGAACCTTCCAGAAAGGAGACTGGCATCCTAGCTAGCCGGGAGTAACAGAGCCTCAGATGAGGGATACGGCTATGAGAAACCCAATATGCATGTGGGTCTTGGAGAAGGGCTTTTTTGTTTTGCTGCACCGTGCTGCATGTGAGATCTTTTTTAAAAAATTGATTATTTACTTATTTATTTTCTTTCTTTCTTTTTTTTTTTGGTTGCGTCAGGTCTTAGCTGCGGCACGCGGGGTCTTTGTTGAGGCATGCGGGTTCTTTCATTGTGGTGCGAGGGCTTCTCTGTAGTTGTGGCGTGCAGGGTTTCTCTCTCTAGTTGTGTCACTCGGGCTCCAGGGCGCGTGGGCTCTGTAGTCGTGACACGTGGGCTCAGTTGCCCCACGGCGTGTGGGATCTTAGTTCCCTGACTGGGGATCGAACTTGCGCCCCCTGTGGAGATGGGCTTTTATCATCTGCTCCTGTCTCTTGTTCCTCCAGGTCTTGCCTTCCAGTATTACACTAAGAGCAATCTGGTCCGGATATGCCTCGGGGCCGTGATTCTAATACTCCTGGTGGGGCTTCTGGCAGAAGATTGGCACAGCCGAAAGAAACCCCTGATGCACCGGGTCAGAGCTGTCCACAGGCCGCTCCCACCCCTCCCTCAGACCCAGAAGTCACACAGTTGTCAGGATGGGGGTCGATCAGATGAGCATAACTGAGGATACCATCATTAGAATCCCAAGGCTTGGTTGTATCTGAGAGATAGGTCATGGGAGTGGGGAGGGGACTTGGTGTGGAGTGTGAGAGTAAAAGGATAGAGCCTACAGCTGTGGAAAAGGAGGGCGGCGGCAGGGGATGTTCTTCTTGGTGCCCCATCAAGGAGTTGAGTCAGTGTCTATTTGGCTGTATGTCCTAGGACTCTCTTTGTTTGGGATGGAAGGAATCTAGTGGATGCCATAGTCTCCTCACCGATATCTTGCTCATTGTGGACATTGTGGCACCTCACTTGGGCCATCACACTTATCTCTTTCTTCAACCTTCCCTAATACGAGTTTCAGATCGACTTCTAATATTCCCACCTCTCACAGCTGACCTGTTCTATCCTTTGCACAAAACTCTCCCACGTTTCCCCCGTGCACACCCCGTGCTTTTTTTTCTTTTCTTTTTTTTTTAACTGGAGTATAGTTGATGTACAATGTTGTGTTGGTTTCTGGTACAGCAAAGTGAATCAGTTCTGTGCTTTTTTTCCTGATTATCCCCAAACCTAACCCTTGCTCTAGCCCTATCTTAAGCTGTAGTCTGAAAAATCTCCTTTTGTTTCTCGAGATGTGCCTGGTTCTTTCAGGCTTTGGGGCATTCTGTTCTTTCCCCTTAGAATATAATAATAATTATAACCAACATGCCAGTGGCTTGCCTTTATATTAGAAAAAAAGTCCAAAGTCCTAAGTTTGTGCTAAAGGCTAGAATATGTAAATCCATAGAGATAGAAAACAGAGTGGTTGGTTGACAGGGGTTGAGGGGAGAAAGGAATGGGAGTAATTACATAATCAGTATTTTTTTTTTTTTTGCGGTACGCGGGCCTCTCACTGCTGTGGCCTCTCCCGTTGCGGAGCACAGGCTCCGGACGCGCAGGCTCGGCGGCCATGGCTCACGGGCCCAGCCCCTCCGCGGCATGCGGGATCTTCCCGGACTGGGGCACGAACCCGTGTCCCCTGGCATCGGCAAGCGGACTCTCAACCACTGCGCCACCAGGGAAGCCCTAAGTGTGAGTTTTGAAAAAAGGATGAGATGTGACTTTTTACACAGTGAAGGAGAAGTATATTTTCAGGGTTTGTGTTGTATGTGTGTGTATAGAAGCATCAAAGTGCCAGGTACTTTTTATAAATAGTAAGTTGACACATAGCAAGATGTGATTTCACTTCCCATTGGCTTAGGCTGATTGATAAGGGCAAACATAATATTACACAGTTTAATTTATTTTCAAGGGACACAGAAAGAAAAGTTGACAACAGTTATCAAGGTTTTTCTCCTATGTTTTGAGTAAAAATATCCAGAACGTCTCTGGCCAAAGATCTTTCAGTTTCAGCAAATCAGGGCAAAATAGAAAACACTTCTTACACACACACACACACACACACAAACACACACACTGTGTGAGGTGATGGATGTGTTAGCTTGATGGCGGTGGTCATTTCACAATGTAAATGTATAACAAAATATCACACTGTACACCTTAAATATATAAAATTTCTCTTTGTCAATTATATCACAATAAAGCCGGAAAAAAAGCAGACTCATGTAATAAAGCAAAATGTAAATATTTCTAGGGAAACCAAAGAAATAAAATCAGAAATTTAAAATCTCCCTCGGTAACTCCCACTTCTAGCTATCCCAGGTGTATCAGACCAAATGTCTCACTGAGAATAACTATAATAAACATTGGATTAAAATCACACAGCTGTATCTGTCACTTATATATCAGCCAAGGCTACAAGATCCCCCTAATGTCTGATGAATCCTTGTGTGCAGCATTGGGAGGATATGACCTCCTTCTACTGTTAGAGAAGAATTTTATTGGAGAGAGGTTTTAATATCTTTCTGTTCTGGGTTTATCTGCCCTGATAGTTCTGAGACTTTTGTCAAGCTCTGCAATGTCTTTGGACTTCAATTCTCAATAGTATAGTTGAAATATTGTCCTTTTCACAGATGTGTGGTGGAGATTTCACATGTTTAATTATGTAGAGAACCTACTGTGACCTGGAGAATGTCCTTGACATTAGTTAATTCTCATTTCTGTCTTCTTTATTCCTTTAACTCCTTTCCTCTCCCCATCTCTCTCCCTCACCCTTTCCCTCTATTTCTCCAATTTAAAATAGAAAGTTGAGAATAACAGACAACAGCAAGGACCAGCAACCTGTGGCCAGTGGCTGAATCTGGCCCACCACTTGTTTTTGTCAATAAAGTTTTATTGGAACACAGTCAGCCCATTCACTATATATTGTCTGTGGCTGCTTTCTTTCTGCAATGGCAGAATTGAGTAGTTGCTACGGATAATATATTTCCTGCAAAATTGAAAGTATTTACTATCTGGCTCTGCAGAAAAAGTTTGCTGACCCCTGGTTAAGAGTATGTGCTCTAGGGCTTCCCTGGTGGCGCAGTGGTTGAGAATCTGCCTGCCAATACAGGGGACACAGATTGGATCCCCGGTCCGGGAGGATCCCATATGCTGCAGAGCAACTAAGCCCCGTGCTCTACAACTACTGAGCCTGTGCTCTAGAGCCCGTGAGCCACAACTACTGAGCCCACATGCTGCAACTACCGAAGCCCACGTGCCTAGAGCCCGTGCTCTGCAACAAGAGAAGCCACCGCAGTAAGAAGCCCGCACACCTCAACAAAGAGTAGCCCCCACTCGCGGCAAGTAGAGAAAGTCCGTGTGCAGCAGCAAAGACCCAACGCAGCCAAAAATAAATAAATAAATTTATTAAAAGAAAAAAAAAAGAGTATGTGCTCTAGATTTTGACTGCCTTTCACACTGTTTCAGGTGTACAAAACAGTTATGATAATAGTAATACCTGCCTCATATTATTGTTTGAGAATTGAATGAGATAATATATGCAATGGGCTTAGAATGTACGTGACATGTTATCATCACTAAATTTTATGGTTTTAAAAAATTGAAGTAGGGGCTTCCCTGGTGGCGCAGTGGTTGAGAGTCTGCCTGCCGTTGCAGGGGACACGGGTTCATGCCCCGGTCCGGGAAGATCCCACATGCCGCGGAGCGGCTGGGCCCGTGAGCCATGGCCGCTGAGCCTGCGCGTCTGAAGCCTGTGCTCCGCAACGGGAGAGGCCACAACAGTGAGAGGCCCGGGAACCGCAAAAAAAAAAAAAAAAAAAAAAAAAAAATTGAAGTAGAGTTGATTTAAAATATTGTTAGTTTCCGGTGTACAGCATAGTGATTTAGTTATTTTTTTCTGATTATATTCCATTATAGGTTCTTACAAGATATTGAATATTGTTATTTAGCCACAGGCTATTTTCCAGTCATAGAGCCTGGAGAGTCCTCAGGTTTTCAAATTTTTTCCTTGAAAAACATTGGCTCTCAAAGAGGCAAAATGAGTTAAAATTAATACTTATATAAGAATTGATACAAAATAAGTGACATGGATGCACACTTAAATGTCAACAGTAACTAATACCATCAACTGTAGAACAGATGAACTTGACCATTGTGATAGATACATTTTAGTTAACATGGAATATGGATGCATTTCAATATCCTTGGTGTGATGGAGTCAGCTAATTGCACCTGTGTCAGTGGTTCTCAACCAGGGGTGATTTTTGTTCCCCAGCGGACATTTGACAAAGTTCGGAGACATTTTTTGTTGTCAGAACTGGATGGTGCTACTGGCATCTAGTGGGTAGAGACCAGAGATGTTGCTAAACATCCTATCATGCACAGGACAGCTCCCCATAACAAAGAATCATGCATCTCAAAATATTGCTAGGTGCCAAGGTTGAAAAACCTGACCTAGTTGGTCTGGGAGAGAGATTGCACATTAGAATTGAGACAGGCTGGGGAATCCCCTGGTGGTACAGTGGTTAAGAATCTGCCTTCCAATGCAGGGGGCGTGGATTCGATCCCTGGTCGGGGAACTAAGATCCCACATGCTGCGTGGTAGCCAAAAATTAAAAATAAATAAATATAGTAAACAGCAATTTTTAAAAATTAAAAAAATTACAAGAATTGAGATGGGCTGGGACCTGGGACCCTTTGCTGCAATGCTTGCACCTGGACTCCTCGAGCAACAAAATGCAAAGAAACTACATGGGACTAAAAATAACTGCGTGCCTACCTACAGGTGGGGCAAATTCTGGACAAAAGATACAAAGAGACCAGAAAACGCAACTGACAATTTTGAAGAGCCCAGAGCAAAAGCGGGGGGGCGGGGGGTTGGGAGCAAAAGCAGGGTACTGAGCATGCCCCCTGCACAAAACACCACCTCATGGGTGGGCAAACCACCTAAGCCCCCCTCCAGCCCGAACCCCTGGACACACCCCTACCCTCTCCCCATATAAGGAGAGAGCTCACCCCTCCCCCTGCCTTGGGGAGCAAGCCAGCAAGGGAACGTGAAGTTTGTTCTCTCTCCCCCCAGCTGCAGCAAGTGCACCAATAAAACCTTGCACGAATTTCTTGTCTGGCCTCTGATCAATTTCTATTGCTTGGGGAAGGTCAAGAACCCTGGTCAGTAGCAGAATCACCTGGGGGGCTTTTGAAGGCTTCTGGCTTCTTAAAGCCCACCCCAGACCAATTCAAGTAGGATGACCAAGGATTGGACCTGGGTAATTTCAATGTGAGTCTCACTTTAAAGATTGAGAACCACCGGTTGACCATTATAAGGAGAGCCATTTCACCCTGGGCAGGAAGTCCTGCCCTCCCGCCAGGTCCCATGGGCCAATCACAGAGTGCGAGCTGGTAGAAGAATTCCTCTTGGTGGAGGTTTTGCTTTGCGTGAGATAACCCACAGGTTGCAACTGAGTCGTAGCCGAAGGGAGGTGAGTACCTACTCTTGTACCTGTTTCTCTGTGTGATCTCTTAACTCAGTGGCAGTTATTGGTGGAGTCTCTAGCACAGAATGTTGCGAGCTTGAATGGCGGCGTGAGACTTTGAGAAGGTTTTTGCAGGCCTCAAGTTGAGCTCTCTCTTTATAAGGAGGAGACGAGATTTGGAGGGGGGACAGCTGCCAATGATTTCATGTGTAACTCTTTTTTTTTTTTTTTGCGGCACGCGGGCTTCTCACTGCTGTGGCCTCTCCCGCCGTGGAGCACAGGCTCCGGACGCGCAGGCTCAGCGGCCATGGCTCACGGGCGCAGCCGCTCCGCGGCATGTGGGATCTTCCCGGACCGGGGCACGACGCCGTGTTCCCTGCATCGGCAGGCGGACTCTCAACCACTGCGCCACCAGGGAAGCCCCCAATGCTATTTTTAAGTGTTTCTTTAAGGTATGATTTCCATCTTGCAAAACCCACCCATTTTAAGTGACTTTTAGCAGACTTACAACAGAGTTGTGCAACCATAACTATAACCCAATTTCAGGACGTTTCCATCACCCCAAAGAGATCCCTCAGGCCCACCTGCGGTACCTTTGCATTCCCACTGTAATTTCGAGCAGAGGACTACTGTGTCAGAGCCTCAGTTTTGCATCTATAATTTGGGATGGTATCACTCCTTGATCTCAAAAGACGGATGCAAGTGTCACTGTCATGAAGGGTAGGGGACAGCAACGTGGTCATGAATTTATAAATTTGTATTTTTTTCCCCCCACATGCTTGTGGCGACAGAGCATCAAGGGGAACTACTGCTGCTAATTAGATGCAGAGTCCTGAGCAGTTCTGTAGTTCCAGGCAGCAGCATATCGCTTCCTTTTCAGCAAGTGCCTTTGCTTTTATCTTGCTGTCACAGCGGAGCCTTTCAGGCTTGTTCCAGCTCAGGTCCTAAGTTTCTCAGCACTGGTCTTCACCCTTACGTTGCTCATACCTATTTCAAATAAAGAACTGCTTGGGACTTGCCTGGCGTCCAGTGGTTAGGGTTCTAAGCTTCCACCGCAGGGGGCACGGCTTCCATCCCTGGTTTGCG